AATGCAACATGTGCCAAATGCCGTAAATACCACATGACAGAATCCCGGTGAGACTAGGTGAGACTATCGCCGTGTTAGTGACCTGATGCCTTTCCTAATGGAACAAGCGCTATGGAGGAACTCGCACACCCTGAGGAGTGTTTGTAGTGAAGGACTTCCGAGGGGTCTTGGCGTCCTACGCATACCGGAGTAGGATCTTGGAGCTGCAGCTTCACTGGTTGAACTTGGTAAAGATGTTGAACAACTTTAAGCCTCAGTTCTTTGTCTTAATATTTGAGAGGTGGAGTTACACAGAGAGGCAGAGGCAGAGAAAGGTCCTCGATCCATTGGTTCACTCTGCCCATGGGCACAACGGCTGGAGCTATGCCGATCAGGAGCCAGGAGCTTCTTCGTCGTCTCCCACATGGGCGCAGGGGCACAAGCACTAGGGCCACCTTCTGCTTTTCCCAGATGTAGCAGGGACCTGGATAGGAAGAGGAGCAGCCAGGACTTCAACCAGTACCCATATGGGATGCTGGCACTGCAGGCGGAGACTTAGTCTACTGCACCACAGCACCAGCCCCAAGACTCAGTTTCCGTGGGAACACGTGGTTTACCAAGGAAAATAGTGGTACCCACCTTAGGGTCTGAGGATGTAGTATGGTGCTCGGTACTGAGGATCTGTGACTCAAGCACTTCCAATCCTGTGTTACTCATGATCAGTACCCTGTCTTCCCTGAGTCTTCCAACGACTCGCTCTAATTGCCCCTCTTCAGTAAGGTCCCCCGAAGCCCCTAACGTGTCTCTGCCTAGTCTTTGCTTTGCACCTGGCTCCTGGGCTCATGTGTGAACACTGACCCCCTTCTGTACCTGTTGATTCATAGCTGGGACCTGTGGCTGCTGAGGCCCCTGCTCGGCCACCCTGGCCTGCTCTTTGGGACCTCTGATCGGCCACGGCTGGGTCTGGGAACCTCTGACCTCACAACAGCTGAGAGGTTAAAAGGAGCACTGGTGCATCTGGCTAATGTCCATCACTCCGGCTTGTGTTTCTGCTTCCATGATAGCATTTAGCACATTTCATTGGGTTTCTCTTTCAGTGCTTGGCGAGGTCACTGAGCTTTGAGCTTAGCTGTTTCACTCACTCATTACTTCAACATGTATTCTTCCAGGGTCCCCAAGTCCTGGGGTTCAGCAGGAAGAAGACAAAATCCCTGTCCTTAACTAGCTTCCATTTTAGTTCAGAGAGGTCAACACTAAAGAAAAAGGTTATTAGTGTTAATTGCTGGGAAGAAAAATAAAGCAGGAGATGGACGTAAGGCTGGTGATGGCCATTGTATAGTAGGGGGTGGGGAGAGTCAGAAGATGGGGAAGGTGGGGCCGGCGCTGCGGCGTAGTGGCTGAAGCTACTGCCTGCAGAGCTGGTATCCCATGTGGGCACTGGTTCAAGTCCCTACTGCTCCACTTCCTATGCAGCTCCCTGCTAATGTGCCTGGGAGGACAGCAGAGGATGGCCCAAGTCCTTGGGCCCCAACACCCACATGGGAGACTGGGAGGAAGTTCGAGACTCCTGGCTTTGGATTGGCCCAGCTCTGGCTGTTGCCGCCAATTGAGGAGTAGATCAGCAGATGGAAGACCCCTCTCTGCCTCTGCCTCTCTGTAACTCTGCCTTTTAAGTAAATCTTTAAAAAAAAAAATGAAGGTAGAAGGTGGGCGGAGACCTAATTGTGTGTGTTGGGGGGGGGAGGGAGAGTGTTCCAGGCAGAGGAGATGGCAAGTGCCGCGGCCCTGAGGCTGAAATGAGCTTGGCATGTCAGGGAACAGTCTGGAGTCCAGCGTAGCTGGGGTGTGGTGGCTGAGAGAGGGCGGGGCGTAAAGACAAATCAGGGGCTGAAGGCTTTAATGCCCTGTAGGCTGTGGGAGGGGACTGACCAGCTCGCATTGCTGGGTCTTTAGGAGGCGGGCGACCAGCTCTCGTGGAGGTTCTCTGTGGCAACCGTGAGAATAGATGTGTGGCTCTGAGGGTAGAATCGCGGCACTGTGGGAGGCTAACGTAGAAACTAGGAGATGGTGGTGACTGGGACTAGGGAAGGTACATTGGAGCTGTAGAGAAGTCACGTTCAGAGTATGTTGGTGCATTTGGGGTAAACTGAATTTCTTTCACAAGTTATGTTTTACCCTTTAAATGTTCTCAGGGTCTAGCTTTTCTACACTAAAATGTGCAGCTCTGTAGTGTACGTTTTGATGACTTTTATTAAACATATGCAGTCACATAACAGACATAAAAATTAAGATGTAAAGCAGCCCTTTCCTTCCAGAAGGTGCCTAATGCGCCCCTCCAGATCTTGTCTCCTCCCTCAACACTGTTACTGTGTCTTATCACTGTAGTTTAGTTTTGCGTGTTGAAACTCGGACGGAATCCTGTGGTGTGTACTCACTGGTGGTGCACTTCTTTTCCTTGGATCACATTTTTGAGATTGATCAATGTTATTGCAAGTATTGTAGTTTGTTCCTTTGTTGCAAAATAGAATACCATTTTAACTGAATGTTTTTTTTTTTTTTTTCAAGATTTATTTTATTTGAATGGCAGAGTTAGAGGTGGAGACAGAGAGGTCTTCCATGCACTGGTTCACTCCCCACATGGCCGCAACGGCCAGAGCTGAGCTGATCCGAAGCCAGGAGCTTCTTCTGGGTCTCCCACATGGGTGTGGGGGCCCAAGGATTTAGGCCATCTTTCACTGCTTTCCCAAGCCACAGCAGAGAGCTTGATCGGAAGAGGAGCAGCCGGGACTAGAACATGGCGCCCATGTGGGATGCAGACACTTCAGAGCAGGGCTTTACCCTGCTGTGCCACAGCGCCAGCCCTGACCTTGTGCTATTTGTCTTTCTGTGTGTTGCTTATCTCATTTAACCATGTCTTCGAGTTCCATCCAACTTGCCACAAGTGGAGAGGGTTCTATTTTTTATGGCTGAATGATAAATTCCATCATGCATGTATGCGTTCTATTTCCTGATCCATTCCTCACACCTTGATCAGTTTCTGTATCTCGACTGTGAACAGTGGCGTGGAGTGGCGGTGCAGATACCGCTTCCTTACAGTGATTGCATGTCTTCTGGGCTTGTACTGAATAGTGGGATTGCTGCATCATGTGGCGGTTCTGCTTCTGATTTTTAAAGGCATCTCTGCAGTGTTTTTTTTTTTTTTTTTTTTTTTGTTTGTTTGTTTGTTTGTTTGACAGAGTGGACAGAGAGAGAGACAGAGAGAAAGGTCTTCCTTTGCCGTTGGCTCACCTTCCAATGGCCGCCACGGCCGGCGCACCGCGCTGATCCGATGGCAGGAGCCAGGTACTTATCCTGGTCTCCCATGGGGTGCAGGGCCCAAGCACTTGGCCCATCCTCCACTGCCTTCCCGGGCCACAGCAGAGAGCTGGCCTGGAAGAGGGGCAACCGGGACAGAATCCAGCACCCCGACCGGGACTAGAACCCGGTGTGCCGGCGCTACAAGGCGGAGGATTAGCCTAGTGAGCCGTAGCGCCGGCCTCTGGAGTGTTCTTCACAGTGGCTGTACTGACTTCTGTTCCTACGCACAGTGTATAATATCCTTCCCTTTGCCCACAGGCAGCAGCTTTTGTGACATTTTGTCTTTTTAAAAGTCATTTTTCATGGGGTGAGGTGCTAGCTTGTTAGTTTCCCTAATGGCGAATGATAACATTTTTTCATGTATTGGTTGGCCATTTATATTTCTTCTGAGCAATGTCTATTCAGAGCCTTTGCTAATTTTAAAAAAAAAAGATCTATTTATTATTTATTTAAGGCAGAGTTACAGAGAGTCAGGGAGGGAGGGAGGGAGGGAGGGAGGGAGAGGTCTTCCATCCTCTGGTTCACTCCCCGAGTGCCTACCAGAAGCCGGGCATCTGGGTCTGCTGGGTGGGTGGCGAGGACCCAGTCACTTGAGCCACCACTTCTGCCTCTTAGGGTCTGCCCTGGCAAGGATCTGGAGTCAGGAGCTGGAGCTGGGAGTCAAACCCAGGTCTTCAATGTGCCGTCTGCATCTCGGCTGCTAAGTTAAATGGTGAAAGTAATGTATGTTCATTTAAAGGAAATTGGGACAATTAGGAAAAATGGTTAGAATACAGCGCCATTGCTGTGTCACTTGGATATAATCACTGTTCATGTTTTAGTTTGTTTTCTGCTAGTCTTCTCTCAGAGCTAACTTTTTTTTTTATTCATTTCAAAGGCAGGGAGAGATAGATATACAGCTAGATATGAATCAATTTCCCATCTACTGACTTATTCCCCAGATGCGTGTGACAACTGGGGTTGGCCAGGCCAAAGACAGAAGCTAGGAACTGAACCTGAGCCTTCCACATGAATGGAAGTGTACTTGTTGCCTTCCCAGGGTACACATTAGCAGGCATCTGAGATCAGGAGTGGAGTGAGATTAGGATTCCAGTGCAGTCATTGGAATACCAGACGTGGGTGTCCCAAGTAGTGGCTGAACCACTGTGCCAAATGCCCTTGTTCTCGGTTTTTTAATGTGCTAATCGTGGTATTATGTAATTTTATTTCTTGACCTTTTTGCATTTGACATGGTAACACTGTCATTTTTAACTATGATTGTATTACTCAGTTGCTAGGTTATTTTAACTTAGTGCTTTTCCTGTGAAAATACTTTTTTTCCTGATTATAAACATAGCGTAGACTTAGTCTAGAACATAGAAAAAAGGAAAAAAGGAAAAGATTTGTGAGACACCAGTAGTTGAAACAATAACATTAGTTATTTTGACATACACTTTTGTTCCTACACATCTTTATAATTTGTGTTTATGCAAATGTATGCAGGTTTTAAAAATAATTTTGGGGATTGTACGTTGTCAGCATTTTTTTGTGTGTCTGTCTTCAGACAATGTCTGGGAGTCTACCAGGTAGATTTCATGGTTTTCTTATCTGTTTCCCAGTGAGGTATTTCTTAAGTGCCAGATTTTGAAGAATTTTTGTCAAGAGAATGCTCTGTGTTTTTGTAGGTCCGTCTCACCCATGAAATTAAACACAAGAATATTGTAACTTTCCACGAGTGGTATGAAACCAGCAATCATCTCTGGCTAGTGGTGGAGCTGTGCACGGGTAAGAGTGTGGCCGCCCTACGTAGCACAGGATAAACCTGTGGTCCAAGTTGTGTTACTTCCCTTTAATCTCCTGTCGCAAAGTTAAAAGGTGCTGATGTTACTTAGTGTGCTAACTTACAAATCTATTGCTTTGGTGGATTTAAGGACAGGGGAAAGAGCAAAGACGCTTGGTAAAAGAAGGCTGCTATAAACTTCACTTTGGAGTTGACTCTGGTATGTTACTCAATCACCTGTATGAACATTTAGCAGTAATTTCAAGTGGTGATTAATTTGTCAAGTATTTTAGGTCATAAAGTAATTGTGTTTTCCGTTTTATGGAAAGGATACATTTTATGAAAACTTAGCAATGTGGAAAAGCACAAAGATGAACTAACAAATGCCAGCAATAGAGATCGCATGTCATCATAAAAGTAGGTTGCTTCGCAGGACCTTCTAAGACCAAATACACAGAGATTATCTGAGCTTTTAGTTTCAACATTAAGAATTTAATAGGGAAAAATATGAATACCACCATTAGAATGTACTTGTGTTTATATACCAGATAATAAAGGAATATTAAATTTTAAGGCCTATTACAATCATTAGCTTTGTGAATTTTCCATGTTAACACTTAAAGTTTATTGAACTTAATCATAGAAGAGATTATTGGGATTTGTAGCTTATCTTTCTGAATCAGTAGGAGGGGATCCTAGTTGGATATGCATACTGACAGAGTGATCAGGGGATGTCCCTCCTATTACTTTTTTTAAAGATTTATTTTTATTTGAAAGACATAGTACAGAGAGGCTGAGGCAGATAGAGAGGGAGGGAGATAGAGAGGCACTCCATCCACTGGTTCACTCTACAGGTGTCCACAAAGGCCAAAGCTGTGCCCATCTAAAGCCAGGAGCTAGGGACTTCATCTGGGTCTCCCACGTGGGTGCAGTGGCCCAACGACCTGGGCCATCTTCCACTGCCTTCCCAGGCCACAGCAGGGAGCTGGGTCAGAAGTGGAGTAGCCAGGACTCAGACTGGCACCCATATGGGATGCTGGCACTGCAGGTGGCAGGCACTACCTGCTATGCCACAGTGCCGGCCCCTCATATTACTTGTTGATTTATCTGTTGCTTCTGATCTCTGAAGAGACATAATAATTAATATTCTAGCTCTAAATTATGCCTGTGTTGGGAATGGTCTCTCATTCACCAAAACAAAGTAAACAAAACCCAGAGCAACTCTAACCTCCATCATTAATAATTCTGATTGGACTTGCAGATGGCAGCCAAGATCTCACTTTCTTTGAATCTGGCTCCTGTTGTAGTCTTCATTTATTTATTTATTTGGAGAGGTAGAGTTACAGAGGGAGAGAGAGAGAGAAAGGTCTTCCAACCACTGGTTCACTCCCCAAGTGGCTGCAGGGGTTAGAGCTGAGCCGATCAGGAGTTAGGAGCTTCTTCCAGGTCTCCCACGCTGGTGCAGGGGCCCAAGCATCTGGGCCATCAGCACAGAACTAGATCGGAAGAGGAGCAGCTGGGAGATGAACTGGAGCCCACATGGGCTGCCAGTGGCACAGGTGGAGGCTTAGCCTATTACACCACAGAGCTGGCCACACCTGTTGGAATCTTTTAAAACAGTTGTTCCTGGCACTTAGGTGGTAGAGATGGCATGTACAGCATTGCCTTTTATCTCATCAGTGGTGCATGCTAAGGGCTGTGACTGTCTCCATATTAAGGAATGGCTTTGTCTTTTTTTGCCTTGGAGGATTTTGAGTCCATGTGATCTGACTTTGCATATGGGTAAACAAGACTACACTTGGCATGATATGACTTAAATGCATAGTTTGACTTAAGTGCACAGTTCTAGATAAGTATTTAACACTCATTTTTGCAGCTGTTTATTTCCTGAGGTATCTGGGATGGTTATCCTTTCTTTGCATCTGCTGACACATAACTGCTCTTCCAGTCAGAGCAGAGTTCTGACTTCTGCTACAGGGCTGGACCACTGTGTTGTTGGTTCACAGGTGTCTTTCCACTGCCAGACTGTCAGGACTGACCATATTGATGAGTTTTTAATGCCCAGTATCTTCCAGCATGGCTCCTCTTGGAGGGGTCCTGTGGTGTTGGTGGGTTAAAATGAGTGAGTTGACTCAACATCTTGCAGGTGGTTCTTTGGAAACGGTTATTGCTCAAGATGAAAACCTTCCGGAAGACGTTGTGAGAGAATTTGGAATTGACCTGATGACTGGCTTACATCATCTCCATCAGCTGGGCATTCTGTTCTGTGACATTTCTCCTGGGAAGGTAATTCATGCAAGTTTTGATTGCCTAGCTACACGAGTCTCAGCTGAGAGTGGTCTTCTCTCAAAGGTGTTTTTATTGTTAGATACAATTTTGTTATAGAGAATCTTGTAACTTAAGGTTGACTCTTTGGTTTAATAATTGCAAATACATACTTTAGCTACCTAGTTCAGTAGCTTTGAGCATGCAAAGCTGCCCCTTATTCCAGAGCTCTTTGAGTAATTACTTATTGCTGCTAAGGATGAGCCCAATGTGTCTATAAGGCAACACTCTCTGAGCTCTTAAATCATAGTGTGCACTTAGGAACTATTATTTAGTTTGATACTGGTGTTGTTGGCTGTACATGTGTGGTTCCTACTACTACGGACTGCATATTTTCTTTGGTAATGTCATCCATTACTAAATGTGTCAGTGCAGTGGTCATGTAGCCTGTGTAGTTTCTGAGTTGGAGTTAACACTGAGCCTTGGAAGCTGTGTGATCCTTGGATGAGTTGCCCTGCCCCTGGGCACCTAGTTTCTCTGTGATACGGAGATAGAAACTTCCAGGGTGGTTGTGAGGATGCGATATTAAAGCTTCTGCATTGGTAGTGTGCTCACAATCAGTGACCTCTATTGTCTTTTTAAGTGTGGCCTTTTGGAATTGCACATACTACTAGTCTGCGTTTTTCACTTTTCTTTTAATAGATGCCAATAAAATGAAAAATGAAAATTAAGAATTTTTTAAGGACTGAAGAGCGGGGCAGGCAGACATAGGGTTGCCATCTACTGATTCACTCTCCAGGTGGCTGGGGCTGGGCCAGGCTAAAACTGGGAGTTGGGAATTCAGTCCAGGTCTGAGTGGCAGGAAGCTGATCCCTTGAGCCATCCCCAGGGGTTCTGTGTTAGCTGGAGACTGGAGTCAGACGTGAGAGTTGAGTACCAAACCCCAGAGCACTCTGATGTGGGATGGGCTGTCTGGATCCTTAGGCTAAATGCCTGACCCTTAACTTTGTTTAAGGGCCATGTCTCTGTGAAGATAGTTCAACTTAAATGGGAAAACTCCATAAACAGCCTGTGTAGTGAATAGAAGTTCATGGTTGAAATACTTCAAGAGTTTGTAGCCACTCAAACTGCCTCCAGCCTGCTGAAAGCAAACTGTGAACAGTGTGGAAATGCATGGGTGTGACTGGATTTTAACAACTTTATTTATGGATGCTGAAATTTGAATTCCATATATTTACATGCTAAGATACAGTCTATTTTTTTTAACATTTAAAAATAGAAAAAAAACACATCATTTACAACTCGCAGGTGTAAAAAAAACAGGCAGTGACTGAGATGTAGTTTGTTGACGTCTGCACGAGAGTTGTTAACGAGGTTCATTGCCAGCTGTTGTGATCTGAGAGATGCGGGCTGATTTGCAATAACCCGTGCTGTCGTCAGGATTCCGGTTTATGTGAATAAAGTTGTGTTGCAGCACAGCTGCCCCGTTTGGTCTTCTAGTGGCTGCTTTTGTGCAACAACACTACACAGCTCAAAAAGTGTGTGGGAAAGTAGAATTAAAAGATAAGTTTATTTTGGTGTAAAAATATTTTAAATCCATGCATAGTTTTTTCATAAAAAGTTCATGGAAAATAGGTATTGTGAAAATGCTATGCACAATTTCAGTTTTTTTGAGGGGGGTGGCTACCAAAATGAACTTTTAATTCTTTTTCTGCCAGTTTTTTGAAGTCAGCTTGTAGAATGCAGTAGACGGGGCTGAAGAGTGTATGGCTTGCAAAGTCTGCAATATTTACTAGTTGACTCTTCAAAAATTGTTTGGCCCCTGCCACGGGCACTCAAGTTTGTCCCTTTGTTGTGGGCTAGGTTGGGTCTAAATTCCTAATCCAGGCTATTGCCTCTTTCTTAGAGAAGCATTATATGCACAGGCACAAACAGAGCATACAAAGTGCTGAAATTTGTTTATAAGGTGAGAACACACATGCACACTCAGGCACGCACTGTTGAGGGAGAGTGGGCAAGGAAAGAGAGAGAAAAGGAAGGGGGCTGGGCAGGCATCACCTGGAACTTGTTAACAAGGCAGGCTCTGGGGCCCTGCCCCAAACACCTTCAAAGACTTGGAGGTGGTGACTAGCTCTGTGCTTCACCGGATCCATCTAGATGGTTCTAGCACTCAGAGGTTTCATAGGCACTGTTGCAGACTATCAGACATATTCTGTGTCTGCGGCTGCTAGGTGTAGATGGAGTTCAACTTGGTTTTCCAAACAGAAAAGTCACTTGACCCGTTGCAACTGCCCGGGAGCGTTCTTAGTGATGTTACAGGAAATGATACAACTGTTAGAACAGTGCTTCCTGGCATGGTTTCAACCACAGACAGTTGACTGCTAATCACAAATTGTGCGAGTAGTCTTGAGCACCTACCATATGCCATTCATTGTTACAAGCTTTTTACATAGGTAACTTCAATGAATCCTTAGCACAGTCTGAAGAGTTTGGTATTATTATTATTATTATTATTATTATTTTGCATTTTGTAAGCGAAGAGACAGAGGATTAGAAAGGTTAAGTAAATTCTCCCGAGTCAGCCAACAAGTAATTGGTGGAACTGCGGCTCAAATCCACTTCTGTAACTCAAAACCCTAGTGTTTGTCCTATGTTATGCTTCCTGTCCCAACTACAAAACCACTTTGGATGTGGGAGTTTTCAAGTCCTTTTTCAGATATCACCATCGACTGGTGAGAGTACATCCTTCTATATATAGCTGTCCCTCAGTAGCTGTGGGGAACTGGTTCTAGTACCCCCACCTCAGATACCAGAATCAGAGTACACAAGTCCTTTGCTTAATATGGCAGAGTGTGTACATCAAGTCTATACACTAGTCTCGTACGTTTTAAATCCTGTCCAGATTGCCTATAATGGCTAATACAGTGTAAATGCTATGAAAATGGTAGTTATATAATGTACCAAGGGAATAATGATGAAGAATAAAGTCTTGTGCAAATTTTTTTCTGGATATTTTTGATCTACAATTTGTTTGACAGATACAGATGACCAAAGGGCTCATTCTACATTATCCCCTGTCTTTCCCCAGAGTCTGATGTTTCCCTGTGTAGTTAGATGATGTGTGCATTATGTGTCTGGGAATGAGCAACTTAATTTTTGATTCTGTTACAGATGTTGAATTTATTTTTCTTTAGCTTTTTGAAAAAAATAGTAAGCATTTTTCTGAGTTGTGCTGAAGCAAAAAAGTTGATGTTCACAAGTATGTTAGTGCAAGAGCAGGAGTGTGGTACACTGGGTGGAGCCACTGCTTGGGCTGCCTACATCCCATATCAGAGTGCCTATTTGAGTCCTGGCTGCTCTGCTTCTGACCCAGCCTCCTGCTAATGCATGCTGGGAGGCAGCAGATGGTGCCTTGCATGCTTGGGTCCCTCTGCCAATCTTGGCAGCCCTGGCTCCTGAGTGTGGCCTGACCCAGCCTGGTCCTGGCTGTTGTGGACATCTGAAGAGTGAGTTAGTGGATGGAAGGTAGGCAGATAGATGATCGATTGACTTATCAATGGATTTATCTCTCTGCCTTTCATATAGATGAAAATGAACATTTAAAAAGTTCTTTAGTGCAGTTCTAAGAGGTACTGATGAGTGTTTAAAATGAATTGAATTTGCCTCTGAATATGTTTATTTTCTAATCTTTCACAGATACTGTTGGAAGGACCTGGCACGTTGAAGTTCAGCAACTTCTGCTTGGCCAAAGTGGAAGGTGAAAACTTGGAAGAGTTCTTTGCTTTGATTGCAGCAGAAGAAGGAGGAGGCGATAGTGGGGAAAATGTACTGAAGAAAAGCATGAAAAACAGAATCAAAGGTATGGTGGCCAGGGTAGTTTAAAGACTGTAAGGCCAATGGGAGGCCGCCTAACTCCTGTGTTTAGGAGGTGATTTCAGACTTCTGTTTGGCCAAATATTGTGTTGGAAATCATAATGACCAGAAGTCTAAATGTAGGAATGACTGTCCCTGGCCTCAAGTTTCCCACATGGGTCTAATACCATGTCAGCCACAGGGAGGCCACCATCTTGTCCCTGGCTTTTTGTGTCACCACTCATTAGAAACCGGGGAGCAGGGTTTTCAGCACTTAGAACAGTGCCTGGCACACGCTAGTAGTTGTCTGTCAGATGTTGTTGAGTGGCTCCTGTTCTGCAACTGAGACAACTTTCCAGGGTGCGCTGCTCGTGGGCAGTTTTGACAATGAGATGGAGCCACAGAAATTAAAATTGTAGTTGAGGGGAGTCTGAAGTGCCACGTCTGACACCTTTCGGGGGGCAGAAAGTGGTCAAGATCTTTGCTTCCTATGTTCTGTGGGAGCTCAGGGCCTTTGAACTCTGAGGTGGTCACCATGCTGCCAGTAAAGTGGGTTGCCCACAGATGGGAGGGGTACTTAGGAGAGAGGGTAGCATTCTTTCCTGGGCTTGGTAGGCACTGTGGCTCAGGGATGAGGAAAAAAGATGGGGAACAGTAGGTTACTCATAGGCCCCATCAGTATGAGCAGAGGATGTTTAGTATTTAGAGCCAGCTTTGTGTGCACTGGAATTTAGTCCCCAAGAAGGTGACTTCCAGGACCCTAAACAGCATCCCAGCATGTGTGCCGTTTTATGGAAATGACTATTGTGGGCTATGTTAGTCGGATATTAAGTTCTGAATTATTACTTAGGATTTTAGTGTAGAAAATGAAGTGATATATTTCAGGACTGCGTGTTTGAGGTACTCCCTGTGTTGTGGACAAATAAGTCAGACGTTTAACAGTGACACTGGGCTACCTGTGGGTCTTGCCAACAATGGGGCAAGTTAGCCTCTCTGGCCGAGGATGGAGCCGTACAGGGTAAACCCTGACCTTGAGGGATCACCCACATTGTAGATGGCCCACCCTCTCATCCCTGTGATACAAGAAGTCCAAAGTCAGGCTGCTTCTATTTTTCTGGAGTCCTTGAGAATTTACAGTCTATATGTGGCAGTGAACAAGGCACATGAGACAGTTAAACACTGAGCCTTTTGACAGATGAGAGTGGCTGGGTGTTGGGATGGAGTTCATAACTGGTCAATAGCAGCGCATAGCCCTAGAGAAACTAACAGTGGTCTTGATGTGAGTACTGATGAACAAAAAAGACAACAACCTTGACTGGTCTACATCTGGGTTGTATTTCAGAGAGCCTCTGATAAGCTTGCCTGGATTCCAGTTCTGCCTTTGTTTCTTCTAATGTCATGGATGGCTGCTGTTGGTTCAGGATTCTCCGTGACCTTGCAGAACCTTTCTTGGACCACATGTTGTCTTTCTAACCGTCCTTCCCTTCTCTGTTTTCTCAGGGTCTGACATGCTTTGCTCTCTGAGCAGCTCTCCCCATTTTCCCCTGCAGGTGTTTCCTGTAATGAATCCTTGCAAGGTTAATGCTGTCTGGGTGTTGGCTTCTTGGAGTACTCAGAGTAACAGTTCTCACTGCTCAGAACCCATGCCTTTTGGTTTATGAAGCAGAGCACTTCTTGTTGACAGTTGGCCTCCCACTTCAAGTGCTTGCTCACCCGTGTGCCTCCTACTCCTGTTTGCCCTTCTACTCTTCTTTCTTGGCCTCCGCTCTTTGGAGGAAGACTTCTTGGCAGGATTTTATTGGGCTGAATACTTAGAGGTTAGCTCTATTATTATTTCATTCTGTGCATAGATTTTTTTTAAGATTTTATTTATTCTGAAAGGCATAGTTATATGGTGGTGGTGGTGGTGGTGTGTGTGTGTATGCTTAGGGGACAGAGAGAATCTTTGATCTGTTCATTCCCCAACTGGCCGCAGTGGCCGGGCTGAAGCCAGGAGGCAGGAGCTTCCTCTGGGTCTCTCATGTGGGTGACAGGGGCCTAAGCACTTGGGCCATCCTCCACTGCTGTCCCAGACATGTCAGCAGGGAGCTAGATTGGAAGTGGAGCAGCTGGGACTTGAGTTAGCAACCATGTGGGATACTGGCAGTGCCGACCCACATGTGCATGGATTTCTCATTGCTCTTACCATACCATAATCATTTTCTCCTGTTTGTCTTCTCCCCATTTGATTATCAATGTAGGGATCTATGTTTTTTGGTTTAGTAGTGTACTCATTTGTTTTGCATTTACTTATTGATAAACAAGTCAGCATGTTCTAGATGCTGTAAATATGGATGTGACTAGCCATGAATTCTTGTCATAGTTGAGCTTTTATTTCAAGTGGGAGAAGATGGGTAGACATTCACGTTCAGCAAATATTAACACAGCCCCTCAGTAAGTGCTAGGCAGGGTGCCTGGATATCCCCTGGGCCTCATTTTTCTTTGTTTCGTTAGCACCTGGTGCAGGAGGATAGGCCCTCTGTACTGTTACTGTTCGTTGAACAAGTGAACGCACCTATAAGTGTGACAGCACAGCCAAAGTGTCCCTGGGAGGTCTTGGAACCACACCTATGGACCCCCAACATTGCCAGATGCCGTAATGGTCCCTGGAAATAGTTTGCTGGAAGGTTTATACCTTAAAGGAATTTTGTGTCCAAATGATTGGTGATGACTTCACGGAGAGAATGTTCTCACTGGAAGGTTTTCAAGTAGAGCAGGCAGAGTATGCACTGGGGGGAGGTGAGGACCCTGGACTTGGGGGGTGCCCGACAACTGCCCGCCTGTGTGATTTACCAGGTGTTCAGTACCCCTCTAAGCTGCTCTGATAAGTGAATGAAGGTGCTTAGTAGCTCTTACGTACAAGGTATCTATGTGATACCAACCTTTGTGTAATGTCTGTGTGATATACCTGAGTGCTCTTTTTATTTTTTTAAATTTCCATTTTACTGGCAAGGCAGAGAGAGAAAGGTTCATTCCTCAAATGCCCACAACAGCCAGGATTGGGCCAGGCTGAAGCCAAGAGTCCGAAATCCAATCCAGGTCTCCCACGCAGGTAGCAGGGACCCAAGAACTTAAGCCATCACCTGCTGCTTCCCAGGGTGCTTCAGCAGGAAGTGGAATTGGAAGCAGAGCCAGGGCTCAGATCCAGGCGCTCTGGTAGGGGATGCAGGTGTCCCAGGGAGCCTCTAAACCCCTGTACCGAAATGCCAGCCCCGTGAGTGCTGTTGAGCTCAGCGCTGCCCAGTCTCCTCTGAGTAACTGGTAGGATTGCGTCTTCGCTCTGGCCAGAGCCAGTGTAGTGTGAGCAGAGTGGTGGGAGTCACTCTGAGGTAGGACTTGGAGGAGCTGATGCGCAATTGGCTCTGTTCTTCCTGCCTCCCGGATTGAGGAAGCAGGAATTGAGACAAAGGCTATGTCTGCCTGCATCTTTGAATTACTTATGGGAATCGAGGCTCCTAGGCCGACTTAGGATGGACATGAAGCATGAGTAATAAATAAACCTGTAGTAAATCAGTGGGATTTTGAGATTGTTGCCACTGTTTAAATTTTTAAAATAATGTTTTTATTATATTTGAGAGGCATAAAGAGAATTGACATCCACCATGTACTGCCCCGGTGCCCACAACAGCGGGGGCTGGGCTGCAGCTAAGAGATACTAGCTCAGTCTCGGTCTCCCACATGTTGGCGGGGACGCAGTCATTCAAGCCATCACCATGTCTGCCAGGGCCTGTATTACCAGGAAACTGGAATCGGGAGCCCCAGCCAGGCATCGAACCAGGCCCTGTGGTGCAGGATACAGGCCTCTCAACTGATAGCTTAACCTCTAGGCCAATTGCCTGTGCATAAATTAACATAGTTAAGTTGGAACATTGTAATGGAAGGTTCGGACTATTTAAACGGTCGATTTTAAAAAAGTAGAATGTGCCCCACCTCTCACCCAGGTGTATTTCCAAAATCTGTTCCTATCCTTTGCAAAAAATCTGAACTAGCACTGAGAAAACATTTTAAACAGTGAGTTACGTGTGAAGTTTTATAGATGTGTGTGTTTTTCTCACCTGGCGTTTTGCAGATGGGTTTGTGTTGGGAGCAATACAAAGGCCTAACAGAGTTGTTTCTTACTATTTTAGGATCTCCGATATACACAGCGCCGGAAATCGTCAGGGGCACTGATTTCTCCATCGCCAGTGACCTCTGGTCTTTGGGCTGTCTACTTTATGAAATGTTTTCAGGTGATCCCTTTCTGTTTCAATTGGAAATCAGAGCTAGGCAGAAACACAATTAAAAAAAAAAAAAAGCAAAAACCAGGGTGAAGTCTGCAATTTTCAAGTATTTTGCCTATAAAATGTTGAAAAACAGCTTTTACTAAATTAAAAAAAATTAATTTGAAAGGCAGAAAGACACAGAAGGTTTTCATCCACTGATGCATTCCCCAGATGGCTGGGCCAGATGAAGCCAGGAGCCCAGAGCTTGGTTTGGATCTCCCATGTAGGTGGCAGGTACCCAAGTGCTTCAGCTGTCACCCACTGCCACCCAGCGTGCACACAGGCAGGAAGCTGAATTGGAAGTGGAGAAGGGACTCAGACCCAGGCACTTGGATGTGGGCACAGGCATCCTAAGCAGTGTGTTAGCTGCTGCAGCAAACACCTACCCCTAAATTTTTCTATGTATTGATTGTGAGTACTTACCTGGGCATCTGTGCACAGTATGTGCTCCTGGGATCTTTGGTACATGCAGCTAACTTTTCATGATGATCTGGAATGCTGAAATGTACCTGCTATAAATTGAGCTTTCTAGCAGGATATTTTGTACAGGTGCCCTGGGTAAATTACTTGGATGTACTGAGTGGTCCAGGCAATCTCTCCGCCAGGGTAGCTAATCTGTATACAATACATTTTGAATAAGTGAAATATCAAAATACATTGACAACGTATTTGGCATATAAAACATTCAATAATTGTTACTATCTATTTCTGTCCTGTAATTTGTGTAATTCTGAAATGTCTGAGTTGAGATCACTTTAGAATTACTGGTGAGAGCAAAATACTGAGTGTGTATGATTTAATGTGATTTCAGGAAGACCTCCATTCTTCTCAGAAAGTGATTCAAAGTTGATTGAAAAGATTCTATATGAAGATCCTTTGCCACCTATTCCAAAAGGTAAGATTTCTTAGAATAAGTGCGGATATTTAGTTTATACTGACCAAAGGTACATCTTTATCCAAAGTCTGCTTTTATAGATTTGTAATCACTGCTAATTGTGTATCTTTTAAAGATTTATTTATTTGAAAATAGAGTTACAGAGAGGCAGAAGCTGAGAGAGAGAGAGGTCTTGAATCCGCTGGTTCATTCCCCAAATGGCCACAATGGCTGAAGCTGTGCTGATCTGGAGCCAGGAGCTTCTACTGGGACTCCCACATGGGTGCCGGGCCATCTTGGACTGCTTTCCTAGCCCACAGCAGAGAGCTGGATGGGAAGTGAAGCAGCCGGAACTTGAACCGGCAGCCCATATAGGATGCCGGCACTGCAGGTGGTGGCTTTACCTGCTCCATCACAACACTGGCCACGATTTTTCAATTTTAAATACTCTTAGTGTTCATTCTTGTTTTCTTCCATAAGTTAAAGGTTTCTATGCATTGAGGGGAAATTGGAAAATGAAGATGCTGAGTTTGGTCAGCGTATCACTGGAGGTCACTCTGTAGTTTGTCACAGGGATTTTAGATTGTGGCTGTAGCAACCCATGGTGCTGCTATTGTGATTGCTTTGTCCCAAGCATGCTTGGCTGTTGTCACTGGTCCTTGTGTTTATGGCCAATTCTTTTAACCGTGGTCAGATGAATTGGCTACAACATGCTGATCTCATTTAAAAAGATAAAATGTTATAAGGTGAATGGTTGGATGTTTATTTGCCTGTTAAAAATCTTCCAAGTAGGGGCCAGTGCTGTGGCATAGCTGGTAAAGCCTCTGCCTGCAGTGCCGGCATCCCACATAGGCACTGGTTCTAGTCCCGGCTGCTCCACTTCCAATCCAGCTCTCTGCTGTGGCCTGGGAAAGCAGTAGAAGATGGCCCAAGTCCTTGGGCCCCTGCACCCACGTGGGAGACCTGGAGGAAGCTCCTGGATCCTGGCTTTGGATTGGTGCAGCTCCAGGGGTGCGGCCATTTGGGGAGTAAATCAGTGGATGGAAGACCTTTCTCTCCTCTTCTCTCTTTGCTTCTCTCTGTCTCTGCCTCTCTGTAGCTCTGCCTTTCAACTAAATAAATACATCTTTTTTTAAAAAAAATCTTCAAAGTTAAAGGATTACAAGTATTCTAATCTTTTTTTTAGATTTATTTTTATTTATTTATTTTTTAAACTTTTATTTAGTAAATATAAATTTCCAAAGTACAGTTTATGGATTACAGTGGCTTTCCTCCCCCATAACTTCCCTCCCACTCGCACCCCTCCCATCTCCCGCTCTCTCTCCCAATCCATTCACATCAAGATTCATTTTCAATTATCTTTATATGCAGAAGATCAATTTAGTATATATTAAGTAAAGATTTCATCAGTTTGCACCCACACAGAACATAAAGTGTAAAATACTATTTTAGTACTAGTTATAGCATTAATTCACATTGAACAACACATTAAGGACAGATCCCACATGAGGAGTAAGTACACAGTGACTCCTGTTGTTGACTTAACAATTTGACACTCTTGTTTATGGCGTCAGTAATCTCCCTAGGCTCTAGTCATGAGTTGCCAAGGGTATGGAAGCCTTTTGAGTTCGCCAATTTCGATCTTATTCAGACAGGGTCATAGTCAAAGTGGAAGTTCTCTCCTCCCTTCAGAGAAAGGTACCTCCTTCTTTGATGGCCCTGTTCTTTCCACTAGTATTGTAATCTTAAGTGGACCATAAAGTTGATGAAGTTAGGAAAGTTTCTGAGAAAGACATACAGTTCATGGCTGGAGACAAGGGTATGAGTTTCTCAGGCTAGTGGTCCTTATTGGGATTGTTCCATAAAGATGTTAGTTAAGACTTAGTTTTGAAGGTTTGCGTTTTTTTTTAATTTTTGTGATCTTGGAAAAACGGTTTTTATCTTTTGTTTTGTGCCCAGCCTTCTTGCCTCACCAAACAGAGGCTCTGATTGTTATGGGTTCAGGTTCAGTATATGATTAAAAACAACTTAGGAGCCTAAAGCGCTAATTAAGTATTGATGTAGGATAGTGAGATAAAGTTGATAAATTATGTGTTCATCTACTTAATGCTTTTTTTTTCCATTTTGGAAATTAATTTGTTTATAGATGCTTCTTTTCCTAAAGCGTCTTCAGATTTGGTTAACTTGCTTGATGGGTTACTTCAGAAAGATCCACAGAAAAGGTGCGTATGCCATTTTAATATGAATGGATCCTCTGATCCTGTACTGGGTAGTCGCTTAGTAGATTGACAGGTTTTCTTGTACCTTCCAAATCCAAAACATGTTTCTTTCCATCATATATTTCAGGCTAACATGGGTTTAGACTTTTGAATTAGGCAGGCTGTTCTCAAGATGGTGAAGTTACTAAATGTTAATGGTATTTCAGTGTCATGCCTTTAGACTTTCATGGGGATGCCCAGTAATGGGATGGTGGACACACGGTGAGTTTGCTGGGTCGCATCGATGTCAGGAAGTTACAGTCGTCGTGAAGGCACAGGGCAGGGGAAGCTTGGAGGAGGTGAAGAAGAGGGAAATGGGAGCCCTTAGCTTGGGAGGCAGAGGCATTGAGTTTCCAGTTCAAGTTCTGCCAGCACATATCTGGGGGTACAGGAGCCAGGAGGGGAGGAGAGTTCAGGTAAGTATTCGGGTCTCTTGCTTTCAGAGTATAAAATTGAGTGTAGCTATAAAATAATCCATGTCTACCTTTATTAAATAGTATAGGAAAAATGCTGCAGAAGCAAATGCTGATTCTAGTGTAAGCGTAGGACCAACTTCCTTTAGAATACTTTTTGCCATTGGTGTGATTTTGGTAAATAACTTTCAAGCAGCTTTTGATTGAATGTAAGTAAAACTAATATATTTAGGATTGTATAATCACATATGCCTACATTTCTATCTCTGTAATGTATTTTTTTTTGCTTAACTGGAATCGCTCCATAAGCTACTTTTTTTGTCTTCTATTATGAATTTTTTGTATTGATATAGATTAATGTAGAATGTACATGCAATTATGTATAATATAAATAAAGGTTTAGAATGCTTCCTGGAGTATGAAATATATTGCTATTTAAATAACTTCTTTGTGAAGTGTGTTTTTGGTTGGGGGCAGTCCCTTGAGAAGCTGGCCATAGGCTAAGAGTATTGGACAAGTTTGATACATTGGCCACCGTCCAGGGACACAGGCTGATTTGTACCTGTAGCAAATAAGTCTTAGAAAGCTGCTCCACTGCCATCCTCACCTGCCATAGGCTAGGTGACCTTTCACATTTTTTGCCAATCTGATGTATGGGAAATAAATTTCAACTGCTCTATTGGTCATCTTAATTTCTCTTCTAGTGAAGTAATAAGATCCCTTTGTGTTGAAGGAACGTTATATGTGGTTACAGATTCTTCTCATGGTCAGGTTTTACTTTTGATCAAGGTAATTTGTATTTAGAACAGAAATCTTGAAAACCAAATACACTTTTTTGTTTTTAAATTTCAGATTGGTGAGCATGTATACTCTGGTAGTAGTGACAATTCATGCTTTGCAAGTGAGCCTGGGTTTTAGATAAAGCTTAGCGTCACTGGAATGTGAGTGAATCTGGTAACATTATGTTGACTCCTCAACAGAGGACTGACTTACAGCCAAGAGGCTGATCAAGTCTGGTTTTTGTCTGAATAGAGTTCACAAAGTGAAGTTGCAAAAATGAAACGTGTCCTCCGGTCAGGGTGATTCAAATACTCTTAACTCTCTGAGGATGAAAAAGGTGCCAGAATTAGATTGTAAATATCTAACATAAACACGTTGATGTTTGTAGTGTGAGATATTATTTGTGGTTGCCAATTGACTCTTGTTTGTTTTACTATTGATCAAGGTAATTTCCATTTCATATATACAAGTTAGATATTAATATATGTAAAATACATATCTAAGATGTATCTATCTATAAACATATGTATAGACGCCAAGCAATAGTTTGCAGAACCTAAGATGTTTTCATCCAGTGCTCTGGCCTGTGAAGCCCGAGGCTTCTGATGCTTAGTTGTCAGGACTGTTGGATTTTATACCATATAAGACTGGAGAATAATTTCCTCTGATTGTACTAAAGGAGGTTAATGAAATGGCAAAACACAATTTCAACGTGAGTATCTCTGCCTCACTTAATGGAGATATTTATAAACTACAAAATCTTACATACAGCTGACACGTCTTGGAAATTTTCCACGGGAAATCATGTTAAGAATTGTTCTCACACCCTTTTCGTTTTGTACAGGTTCACTTGGACAGATGTGCTGCAGCACGCGTTTTGGAGGAATGCTTTCAGTAAAGAAGAGCAGGGTGCCAACGTCAGCGATTCCGGCTTCAGGTGGTATCCGCTTACCTGTGCGCCTGGGGCCTACTTACCCGACACTCACGCCGTGGCGGTTGCGCTAATGCAACACCTGCGGCCTGAATTGCTGCGCTTTGGTAGGAGGGGACAGTCAAGCGTTTCTTGGGTGAGGTTGCTTAGAGTCACTGTAGCGATGCGTTCTTCATTTTGCTCCTTTGCCGAGGCATCCTTAGTAGGCAGTTGTGAGTCCTGTTCACCAAACGCGTCTGCCTTCCGGCTTGCTGAGGACGCGCTGGGTCTCATTTCCCCCATCCAGGTAGATGTGGCCACGGGTCTCGCGTTGGCTTGTGAAATGTGAGCCGACACGGTGTGGTGTTTTTGGTAGAAACCTGAAGACTCACATGTCTTCCTCCTGATGATTTCACTGGGGAAAAGTGTCGGAATGATGTTTCTGTCTGCCCAGATCTCAGGTGAGCAGCTGCTCATGGCTGTGTGTGTGAGGGAGGTGTTACACTGAGGTGAGAAGTCTCTAGGATTTGGGTGTTAGGACCACATCACTGCGCTTATGCTGCCTGACAGGCACTTCTGCTATCAAATCTTCTTAGCCAGAACACCTCGCAAGGTGATGGTGTTTGGAAAAGAGCAAGGTGAGAAGTCGTTGAGTAGGGGTACAGTCTTCATAATTGACTGTTCTCCCCCTCAGCTCATGGACTGGTAAATGGTTGTCTGCTCCTTAATTTTAATCTTGGTAAATTCAATATATTGGATAGAGAAGTCTGAGTTCCATTTAAAGTCTCCCCTAAACTTGAGTTTGTGTATCCCTGTGAGTTTCAAGCACATTCTCACTGTTGCATTAAGTGCTCTTGGGCTTCCAGGAAAATCAGAGTTATAGGGGCTGGCGTTGTGGTTAAGCCTTTGCCTGCAACAGTGGCATCCCACTTGGGCTCTGGTTCGTGTCCCGGCTGCTCCACTTCCAATCCAGCTCCCTACTTATGGCCTGAGAAAGCAGTGGAAGATGGCTCAAGTGCTTGGACTCCTGCACCCACATGGGAGACCTGGAAGAAGCTCCTGGCTCCTGCTTCGGATCCACCCAGCTCCGACTGTTGCTGGGGGGTGAAGCAGTGGATGAAAGATCTCTGTCTCTCCCTTTCTCTGTATGTAATTCTGCCTCTCAAAGAAAATTTTTAAAATTTTTTGAGAGAAGTCAAAGTTACAGCTCCCACCTTCCAGCTGCTTACAATCTGCCATGAGGTCAGCATGATGTAACTAAGCTGCTCCCAAGGAGATGTCAGCAAAATGGGCCCTGGTCCTGGATGCTCCATGCCAGCAAGTGGCAAAACACCTCCGTCCCTTAGTTTGTACTCATTAAATAAGTGAGGGAGTTCCTGCTCTGCTACTTCTCCTGCAGAACTGTTGGGGACAATTTGAGATAGGGGCCAGTGCTGTGGTGTAGCACCTGCAGTGCCAGCATCCCATATGGGCACCAGTTCAAGTCCTGCTGCTCCACTTCCTATCCAGCTCTCTGCCATGGCCTGGGAAAGCAGTAGAAGATGGCCCAAATCCTTGGGCCTCTGTACCCACGTGGGAGACTCAGAAGAAGTTCCTGGCTTCGGATTGGCTCAGCTCTGACTGTTGTGGCCATCTGGAGAGGGAACCAGTGGATGGAAGACCTCTCTATCTCTGCCTCTCCCTCTGCATAACTCTGCCTTTCAGATAAATAAAAATTGAATATATATATGAGATAACAAAAATACTTTGAAAAAATGCAAATGATTATGCAAATAGATATTAATTCTTTACTGCCCTCTTTTCTGCAAGATGAGTATTTTGATCTTGGAAACTGACTTGAAGGAGTAACTAGTGGAACTCAATTTGGTGTTTGTTTGTCTGTTTGTATTTAGAAATCTAGGAATATTTTCCATTCAGTAAGATGATTTTGACTTAAATACCCCTTACATAGACATTCTTGCCACCTGTTTAAATAGAGACAGTTTAATATAATTTTTGATCTGTATCTTTTTTTCTTTTCTTGCCTTACTATATTTCTATTTTTTTTTTTTACACATTTATTTATTTGAAAGTCAGAGTTACACAGAGGGAAGGAGAGGCAGAAAGAGAGGGAGCAGAGAGAGAGAGAGGTCTTCCATCTGCTGGTTCACTCCCCAAATGGCTGCAACAGCTGGAGCTGTGCCGATATGAAGCCAGGACCAGGAGTTTCCTCCGGGTCTGCCACGTGGGTGCAGGGACCCAAGGACTTGGGCCATCTTCTGCTTTCCCAGGCCATAGCAGAGAGCTGGATCGGAAGTGGAGCAGCCGGGACTCAAACCGGTGGCCATAAGGGATGCCGGCGCTTCAGGCCAGGGCGTTAACCCGCTGCACCACAGCACCGGCCCCTGCCTGGTTTCTAATTCTAGGGTGAAAGCATTTGGTGTCTCCCATTGAATATGACGTTGGCCAGAGGTTTATGAAGCTACTCTTTGTTAGATTGAATGAACATTGAATTTTATCAAATGCTTCTTGTGTATCATTGGGTAGGGTTGTTTTTTAGGTATTGACCAAGCCTCGCCTTCCCGTCATAAATCCTCCTTGGTCATGGTATAGGATAGTTCTTTCAGTCTTGCTTGAATGCCTTTGGACCCAAGTGCCAGGAAGACAAAGAGGGAAAAAGACAGCAGAGCCACAAGGGTATTCCCTAGGTGTGTGTGTGTTTGTTTTGCATCAAAGCTCTCTGGTTAGGGAAGTGCATTGCTCTCTCCTAGAGTCCAAGGCTCTTGCCTGCAGGTGTGCGTGTCTATTGGCTGGTTGCTGCAGGAGGCAGGGCAGAGAATGGGGAAAGGGAAGAGCAAACTGGGGCCTTTCTCCTGCCCTCTCTCAACCCTTTCGTGTTCCTTGGGACAGGAATGGAGGGCTTCTTTCTGTCTGAACGTGTTGCCTGTGAGTCTAGACCGATATGGATGGGAAAAACAAAGGGAAACCTCACTGCAGGTTTTAGTGGCACTTGAGGTTCTGGTTCACTTCCCGAGTCTGCCTGCCACTGATTGGTACTCAGACCTGAGGTTTACAGACCCCTTAGCACTAAGGCGCCCACGTGGAAACTGCTCATTTATAACTTCCTGTTCAACCTGTAAAACTACAGAGGGCTCCACAGTACGTGTGATTGTGTGCGCCTTCTCCTGTCCAGCAGGTGTGTGACGGAGTGTTCTGGGCCGCAAGAATCCAAGGAGCAGAAGCCTCCGAATGGACAGGCGAAAGGGCAGAGCTCCAGCGGTCCCCGGCCGAGTCGCTCCTGCAGACTGGGTAAGCTGTGCGTGAGCGCACTCCTGCGGCTGACAGGGTCATTTCTCGGTGTCTGATCTCGCTGTTACCGCTCTCTTGGCATCGTCTGTTCCACCTGCCTGTAGTGGTTACAGTTTTTGTGGCTAATACGTTACTTTCCTACTGCAGAAAATCCAGCCGAGCTGCGGCCCAAGAGCACTCCTGGGGGCCAGCTGAGTGAATCCATGTTCCTCCTCAGGTACGTGAGCTCCCCAGAGCCTGAGGTCAAATCTTGTTGAAGCATCTGCCTCTTGCAGGCAACAGGAGTGTAGATTTTGCAGTGTAATTTTACAAATTTTAACAAAGCAGCTTATGTTTCCTCTTTTTTTGTGCTTTCAGATAGAATTTGGAATTTTCCAAGTTCATCTTTTTCATTTGGATAAGAACTTACAGAAAAGATTTTTTTTGGTTAATATGTAAAGCTTGAATAGTATTTGTAATCATTGGAAGGATTTAAAAAGCAGAATTGTATCTTACTGATTAGGACTTACATATATATTTATATACAGTTTTAATAATTGTAAATATTAAATGTTAAATTTCTCATAGGAAATAGTTTCATTTCATAACATAGGGTTTGTAATGATAGCCTATAATGTCCTGATCAGTGTTGCCAATATCTAAATGTAAAGTATGTTAAACATACCTATATGCATTTTAGACAGTTTAAAATTCAGTTTTGTAGAATCCTGTACACTGTCTGTCTTTGTGGGTACTTCAAGGAAAAATGGAATTAAAAGAAGTTTCTTTTTATTTACTTTTTGAGAGTAAGTAGTTCTTACAGAGATGTTCCATCTGTTGGTTTGCTCCCCAAGTGGCCCCAGTGGCTGGAGCTGAGTCGATCAAAAGCCAGCAGGTTCCTTCAGCCCTCCCATGCGGGTGCAGGGGCCCAAGCACATGCGTCTCCTTCTACTGCTTTCCCAGGCTGTTAGCCAACAGCTGGATCAGCTGGGACTTGAACTGATGCCCTCATGGGAGTCCAGTGCTGCAGATGGAGGTTTAACCTACTCTACCACAGTGCTGGCCCCTAGGTTTTTCAAATTACTGCCTTTTTTCATAATATAATCTCCGTGAACTTTTTGAAAACCCTAATGTGCATGAGCATCAACATTTTATATTAAAATAAACTTATGTTTTAATTGCATTTTCCATGAACATTTTGAAATGCCGTGGTATTTTTAGTGCTATGTACGTACTTGTTAATTGAGTGAGCAGAAAAGCAAAAGGGATGAAAATCCTCATCTTTGAGAATTTGAAGGAAATAATTTTAATGTTTATTTGAAAGGTAGAGTAGAGTTACAGAGAGAGATCAAGACACAGAGATTGATCTTCCATCCACTGGTTCACTCCCCAAACGGCTGCAACGGCCGAGCTGAGCCACGTCAAAGCCAGAATGCTGGAGCTCCGTTCAGGTCTCCTATGTGGGTCTCATGGACCTAGGGACTCCTGCTGCTTTCCCAGGCGTACTAGATGGGAGCTAGATTAGAAGTGGAGCAGCTGGGACTAGAACTGGTGCCCAGATGGAATGCCAGCATCTCAACGGTGACTTAACTCTTTGTACCACAGTGCTGGCTCCAGAAAGATGTTTTAAGATACGCAAAACTGAAAACTGAGTTCGAGGAATAAGGTAGTGGCCTTTAGATTGTGGCAAGCATTTGTATGTGTTGAAAGAATCATTAAAAATAAGTGCAGATTATAATTTCTTAGTTAAATAGATACCAAGATAATTTTCCATTTCAAATACTTTCTGACATAAGGCTAAATTTTTTTTTTTTTTAAGATTTATTTTATTTACTTGAAAGGCAGAGTTACAGAGAGAGGTAGAGACAGAGAGGTCTTCCATCTGCTGGTTCACTCCCCAGATGGCCACAATGGCCGGAGCTGCGCCTATCCGAAGCTGGGAGCCAGGAGCTTCCTCCGGGTCTCCCATGCTGGTGCAGGGCCCAAGCAGTTGGACCATCCTCCACTGCTATCCCAGGCCACAGCAGAGAGCTGGACTGGAAGAGGGGCAACTGGGGACCAGAACCCGGAGCCCAAATGGGATGCTGGTGCCACAGGTGGAGGATTAACCAAGTGAGCCACGGCACCGGCCCCTAAAGATTTATTTTCTTTATTTGAAAGGCAGATTTACAGAGAGAAGGAGAGACAGAGAGGTCTTTTATCTGCTGGTTCATTTCCAAATGGCTGCTAGGGCCATTAGCAGAGAACTGGATTAGAAGTGGAGCAGCTGTGACTCGATCTGGTACTCACATGGTATGCTGGCATTGCAGGTGGCGGTTTTACCCATGGCACCACAATGCCAGCTCCTGTAAATGTTTTCCATCTTGTGCAAAGCATTTGACCCATTTAATGTGATTTCTATCTATGTCTGCAGATATCTAAAAAATAATAGAACCAATGTTTTAAGGTGTAACAAAAACAGAATATTCTAACACAGCATGGAACCTGTGAACAGAATAATATATGAATGAGGAAGTTACTTTAAAATTGTAAGAAATTGTAGCCAGCACTATGCTTTTGCAGCTAAAGCCACCACCTGTAGTGCTGGCATCCTATATGGGTGCTGGTTCTAGTAGTGACTGTTTCCGATCCAGCTCCCTGCTAATGTGCCTGGGAAAGCAGCAGAAGATGGTCCAAGTCCTTGGGCTCCTGAACTCATGTGGGTGATCTCTTGGCTCTGGATCAGCAGGGCTGTGGCCATTGTGGCCATTTGAAGAATTAACCAGCAGTTAGAAGACATCTCTCTCTGCCTCTGCCTCTCTATGCTGCCAAATAAATAAATAAATATTTTTAAAAAATTATAAAAACTTAGATTTTTAAACTGTGAGATCGAATAGAACCATATTCTATCATTTTTCACAAAGCATTTTCCCTGCGGAAGGTAGAAAGTAAATCCGGTTAGGGGAACCCGATGCATGTTGTCAGGCCTGTGTTTTCCAGTTCCCGTCCCACTCCAAGAACCAGCAGCACAGCAGTGGGAGTGAGTCCGGGAGAGGTTATGACTCAGAATTCCCCCCAGAGGACTTCTCCTTTGTCCAAGGTGAGCAGAAATGAAAAATTGTTCTCCACTTAAGGGGGGGGGGGCTCCAAAGACCAGTTACAAGTGAACATATAAACCACATTCATACCTGCAAGATGTAGGGGAGATCCTCTTCCTGATCATTAGTGCTTCTTGTCCAGTAAGTGCTGTGAGAGACATCCCGTGTAATGGCTTCATAGTTGTTTTATCGGCTAGCAACTTTATTGAGCTATGATTGACACACCGTATAATTTACTCAGGTAGTGTGTACACTGCAGGGCCTTGAGCACGGGCAGAGTTGTGCAACCATCACTGCATTCAAGTTTAGAACTCTTCAGTTATCTTGTAAAGAATTCCTGTTCCTATAGGCTGTCAGCCCCTCACTTCCTCCCGTTTCTTCCCCACTGTTACCCTACGCAACCACTCATCTACTTAAGTCTTTCAGCAAGTTTCCTATAAGTGGAATCCTACAACGTGTGGCCTTTCACTTTGTCTGCTTCATGTAGTGTTTTTCAAGATTCATCCAAGTTGGAACACGAGTCAGTGCTAGATTCCTGTTTGTTGCCAAATGACCTTCTGTTGAGTATATCACAGCCTTTTCCCCATTCATCAGTTGATGGACATGGAGGCTGCTTTCACCCGGGGCTGCAGTGAAAATGCTGCCGTGAGCATTAGTGTACTTAGCTTTATGTGGGCGTGTTTTCATGTCTCTGGGGTGCATACCTAGCAGCGGCGTTGCTGGGACAAGTGTTACCTCTTGGTCTAACTTGGAGGCCATGTGGTTTTCCAAAGGTGCTGCACTGTTGTACATTCCATCAGCAGTGTGTGAGGGTTCACATTTCATGATACCTCATCGCCCATGTTTAATGTTCTTCTCTTAGTTGTGGGAACATAGACATGACATCAGATTTGCCGCTTGAACCATTTCTAAGTGATACAGGAAGTACGTTGGCGGTGTTGCGCAAGTCTGCCCCCTCCATCTCTGGCACTTTGTCCTCATCCCAAGTAGCAATTCTCCTTTCCCCATTCCCCACACCTCCTGGCAGCCACTGTTGCACTTTCTGCCTTCACAAGTGTGCTTGTTCTAGGTCCCTGGCCCAGTGGAATCATACAGTATGTGTCCTTTTGTGCCTGACTTACTCCCCTTAGCGTAATGCCTTAAAAGTTCTTTCATGTTGTAGCATGTTGCCAGAATTTCATTCCTTTTTAAGGCTTAATAATCTTGGTAGAATATTCCATAGTTGGGCTGTTCATCTGTTGATGGACACTTAAATTGCTTCTACTTTTTGGCTACTGTGAACAGTGCTGTGGTGTCTGTCATTTTGATGGTAACTTTCCAAGTAGGTGTGAAATTCTGTCATTGTGCTTTGTGGTTTGCATCCACTTGAATTCCTGTCATCTTGAGTATCTTCTCACGTGCTTATTGGCAGTTTGTCTATCATCTTTGGAGAATCTTTGGTCATGTTTGAATTTATCTTTCCCTGACTGAGTAGGAGTTCTTTGTGGTTTGTAAACATTTTTTCTGCTCTATGGGTTGTCCTTTTACTTTCTTAATGGTGTCCTTTGAAGCAAAATGTTTTACTATTTGGACCAAATGAAGCTTACTTCTACATTGAAATTTATATCACTTGGTTATAATAAAATGACACTGTTAATCTTTCGGTTACATGTGAAATAGAAGATTGGTATAAAATTGAAAAGTTATTTTAAAATGTGATTGACTTTTCACTGTTGTGAACAGGAAAGTAAATTGTTATGAGTTGTGCATGTGTTCATTTTACCCACAGGAAATTATTTGTTGTAAACAAATTTTCTGACTGGTCCACCTTTCTAATTCTTACGATTTCCAATAATTTACCAGTTGGTGAATTTTGGCATTTTGGATATTTAATTATATCATCTCTAATAAAGATAATTTGGCCACCTTTTTTGACATATTGGTGTCTTATTTAAATACATGGACTGATGGAATTTGCTGGAAGTCCTGGTAGCGTGAGGTCAGCAGGGGTTCCCAGCCCTGTGCCCAGCTCCTGACTTGTGCCCTGACCTAGTGCACAGCACTGTCCTCCGGGGCAGGCCACCTCCAGCCCACGGGCCCTTCGGGCCAGCAGAATCTTCTGGTCTGGGCCTGCCAAGGCAACTGCAGGTGGGAATCAGACAGTCAACAAGTCTGTAGTAGGCTAATTTTTAAGTTGGTAATTTGGTGTGGCCTGTGAATGATGTCATAAATACCCAAATGGCCTGGTTTTGTGTGTGTGTGTGTGTGGGGGGGGCGGTTGTTAAAGAACTTCGAAAAGAACAGCTGTCTTCTCTTGAGCCCCACCAGATAATGTTGTGAATACTCAGTATTGACTGCACAGTCCTGAAAGGTCACTGATCTTTGTGGTTGAGGAAGAAGTAAAGCCTTTGTCCCTGTAAGTTTCTTGTGAGGGTAATCGACAAGTGACAAAGTAACTCCACCCTGGTCTTTTTGTATTGAAAGTCCTTTTTTCTCTAAAGCAAGCTTCCCCCTTGCTTGTTCTTCTTGTGTCCTCTGGGTTCTTTAGTGAGGATTGCACAGGACAGTCTTGTTTCTAGAAGCTTGATGAACTAACCCCTGTGTGCCTTCATCCATGCCCCTCTCTGCTTCAATTTCAGATAATTTATTTTTCTTAGTCTTTACCAGTTCAGTTTTCTGTTCTCTCATTGTTTCAACTGAAGTTCTTAATGCGTCAATCCTCACGCCATCCCCTTTTTTTCTGATGTGAGATAATAAGGTGTAGCATTGGGAATAAAAGTTCTGCTTAAGTAGAGAACAAAGGAACATCTCAAAGGAATAACTGACGGTGAACATCTGGTTATATTAAGTATCTGCTCTCATTAGGCTTAATAAATATACGCATTTAGGTATTTAATTTTCACATAGCAGATCAGTATTTCACAGAGAATTTTTTTGATTACCATGTTAACTTCCTATTGAATCTTGTGTCACGCACAAATACATTGATTAGTGTTCTTTGAACGACAGGAAAAAGGCCTGGTGGTAATTGAAAAACCAATCAGCCTCATCACAGACCAGACCATCACACAACAGAGATCTGTTTCCTGGGTTCTAAGTGGCCTCGGTGGCAGACGGAACACTTGGCTCACTGCCGTCCGGGAGCTTTGGTTTCTTTCCGTGGGTAGGACTAGGGACACGTACAATGGCAGGATCTTAGGATTCCGGTACAGATCCAGTGGGACTGAACATGTTCCGAACAGCGAGCAAAGCCTTGAGAGGTGTGACCCTTTGGTGGAGCGTCTTAGGAGCGCCGTCCTTCCAAGCTCTTCCCTGCTCGCGGAAGCAAAGCCCATGTGTTGTCCTCGTTTCAGGTCGCCGGCGGCCACCTGAGTCAGCAGGACCTGGAATCCCAGATGCGGGAGCTCATCTACACCGACTCGGATCTGCTCGTCACCCCGATCATCGACAACCCCAAGGTTGATCTCTGTTCGTCTCCTTGTCTGCTTCTGCACCCTTGCGGGCGGCCTGGCTGCATTTCCACTCCCATCCTGCCTGCACCCATCTCTCGCCCTCCCTTCCTCTTCGCTGCTCCGCCGAGCCTTCTCTCTGCCTCTGCTTCACTCTGCGTGGGCCGAGGGCTGGCTTCTGACTTCGAGACCAACTTGAAGGCTAATTTCCAAACCGCAGCACCAGTTCTCTGTCCCTTCCTTACTCCACAGGTACTTTGTGAACCTGCAAATGCTCTAGCCACTGACAGATGAGATAAAGTCTTCAGCGAGCCTGGCTCGCGGGCCGGGGTGCAGTGGGCAGGTCCCAGGGCAGACCCTGTGATGTCACAGGTGGTTGAGATGATATGGAGGCAGAGGCAAGACCGTGGGAGCTTGGGCAGTCAGGTTTGTTGCTTCACATCTTGTGGGATGTGACACTCTTTTCCTAAGGGATAGTGAGTACTCTATCCTTGACAAAACAGTTTCTCACCGCCTGTTTTCTGTTGATTTCCAGCTCCCAACACATTCTCATTCCACCACCTCGTAATTTTCTTCATTTAAAAAAAAAATGGTGTCTTTAATTTTAATTCATGACTGCTTACTCTAATTTCATTGAGGAATATATTACTGTTTAAACCAGGTATGTTCTCAGGTGCATGTTAATTTTTTTGATACCATTTCATACAGATTTAGCAGTTTTTTTCTTCCCAGTAGAGCTAATTCTTTTTCTGAGTTTAGATATTTGGTAGAGTTACTTATTAAACTAGATTCTGTGGGTAACAGGGTGTTTTTCCAGTGGATTTTCTTAGACCATACCTTTTTTTTTTTTTTTTTTTCGACAGGCAGAGTAAGAGAGACAGAGAAAGGTCTTCCTTCCATTGGTTCACCCCCCAAATGGCTGCTGTGGCTGGCGCACTGCGCCAATCCGAAGCCAGGAGCCAGGTGCTTCCTTCAGGTCTCCCATGTGGGTGCAGGGCCCAAGGACTTGGGCCATCCTCCACTGCACTCCCAGGCCACAGCAGAGAGCTGGCCTGGAAGAGGGGCAACCGGGACAGAATCCGGCACCCCGACCGGGACTAGAACCTGGGGTACTGGCACCGCAGGCAGAAGATTAGCTTAGTGAGCCGTGGTGCTGGCCATACCGTATCTTAATAACTTAATTTCCTCTAATAACTATACTTACTATTCTCTGGAAAATCTTAGTGGAATTTACAAAAAACAAAATGAGAGGCAGGGAGACAAGGGAGAGACAGAGGGAGATAGAGACTGAGAGAGTTCTCATCTGCTGGTCTGCTGGTTGACTCCTCAGATGTCCATCACAGTCAGGGTTGGGTCTGGCCAAGGTCTGTGACTCTGCCATGTAGGGACAGTAACCCAACTATTGGAGCCGTGACTGCTGCCTCCCAGCGTGCACATGAGCAGGAAGCTGGAGTCGGGGGCAGAGCCAGGGGCTGAGCCAGAGCACACCAGTGCGGGGGCGCAGGTTTCTCAACCACTGGCCACGTGCTTGCCCCAAGAATTTTTGTAAATCTTATGTTGGACTAATTTTCGACTCAGAATCGTTTCAAAAACAGTAACAGTTCCGATGCGTGCATTTCACCCAGCTTCTAATTCTGTGTCGTTCAGGACCGCAGGACAGTTAGCGGATCCCCAGGAATTAGCATGGAGGTGGTGCTGTTAACTAAACTGCCAGAATTGTTTGATTATTTTCCAGGTGTGCCTCTGATACTCTTGCTGTCCCGAGGTTCATGTTTGTTCTGCCTCCTACCCTCCTGCACGTGTCCCTTGTCGGTGACCTCATAAAAATTTCTCAATCTTTGCTTGTCTTTGGATATTTTTTGAAGAGTAATTAGTTGGGGATTTCCTAGAAAGTTGCTCACTTTGAGTTTGTATAAGGGTTTCTCCTGATGAAAATGAGAGAGAAGTTGAGATGATGAGATTAGGATGAGATGATGAGTACTGCCAATAAAGGACCTCTCTCTCTCTTTTAAAGATTTATTTTGGTTATTTGAAAGATGGTTACCTAGAGACAGGTCTTCTATCCTTTGAGTCACTCCCTCAATGGCCACAACAGCTGGAGCTAAGCTGATCTGAAGCCAGGAGCTTCTTCCAGGTCTCCCACATGGGTGCAGGGGTCTAAACACTTGGGCTATCTTCTGCTGCTTTCCCAGGCAGGCACATTACCAGGGAGCTGGATTGCAAGTAGAGCAGCCAGGACTGGAACCAGTGCTCTTATGGGATGCTGGCACTGCAGGCCGGGGCTTTCACCTGCTGTGCCACAGTGCTGGCCCCCTAGTAAAGGATGCTAAACTGCCACCTAGAGAGGATTTGGAGAAGTTAGACATAGAAATGCTTGGATTTTTTTTTTTTTTTTGAAGATTTTTGGTTTACTTATTTGAGAGGTAGAGTTAGACACAGACACAGAAAGGTCTTCTTTCCGTTGGTTCACTCCGGAAATGGTTGCAATGGCTGGGGCTACACTGATCTGAAGCTGGGAGCCAGCTGCTTCTTCCTGATCGCCCACGTGGGTGCAGGGGCCCAAGCACCTGGGCCATTTTCTGTTGATTTCCCAGGCCATAGCAGAGAGCTAGATTGGAAGTGGAGCAGCCAGGACTAGAACCAGCGTCCATATGGGATGCCGGTGCTGCAGGCGGAGAATTAACCTACTGCGCCACAGTGCCAGCCCTGGATATTTTAATGTAATCTCTCAGGATGAATTGCTGTTACAGAATCATGGATCCAGTCGCATCATTCCTTCACTTCCTTCAAGGAAATCGTGCACTTAGCTGTTCCTGGAATGGTTTCTTCCCTAAACCCTACAGCCATGGAGTCCTCACCATCCTTGAAGACCTGAACCCTCTCTCTGCCTCCGCTTTAAACCCTGTCCTGACCACATCAGCCTGAAGTGCTTGCTTTGTCCTCTAAGTTATTATTTAAAAAAAAAAAATTCTCAGTGTGATGTTCTGTCTATAATTATATAATTACATATGTATTTGGTCTATAATGTTTTGTCTGTAATTTGAGTATTTTGAATTGTTGCTGAAATGTTGTGTGGTTCCTAATTTAGCACATGTTTGTCTCATCTTTCCAACCACAATATTGGCTCTCTGACAAGAGGGCTAGGTCATAAGTACCTTTGTAGCTCCCTTAGCACGTAATAAAGTGTCTCACTCTGACAGGTACCCACTAAATATTTACTGAATGACTTCATGTCTCACCTACATGTAAGTTGACTAAAGGATAACCTAAGATTCGGTGCATCTTTTCCTTTTTTTTTTCTTGAATTTATATATGTATTGATTTGAAAGAGTTACAGAGAAAGAAGGAAAGAGAAGGAGGGACAGGGAGCAAGAGGGGGAGGGGTGAGAGGAGAGATGGTCCATCCACTGGTTCACCCCCTGAATGAATGCAGTGCCCAGGTCTGCACCAGGCTGAAACGAGGAGTCAGGAACTTTATCCAGATCTACCCCATGGACTCAGGGACCCAAGCACTTGGGCTGTCTTCTGCTGCTTTCCCAGGTGCATTAGCAGGAGCAGGGAGCTGGATCAGAAGTGGGGCAGCCGGGACTCTAACTGGCACCCATAGGGGATGCCAGAATGCCAGGTGGTGGCTTTAGCTGTTGTGCCACAGCACTGGTCCCAGTCGGAATGATTTTAACAAATTGTCTACATTTGTATTTTAGTCTGAAAGAGCTCTGTTGTATTATGTTGGTGACAATAACAGTTACCGACTTCTGCTTTGACTTCATTTTAATATGATACAGCTGACAGTTGTGTCTCAACAGACATCTCAAAAATTTAAATTTGTTTTATCCACAGATAATGAAACAACCGCCCATTAAATTTGATCCAAAAATACTGCATCTACCGGCACATTCAGGTAGGTTCACGAAGTGCTTATCAACGTGCAGACTGTATGTACATCAGGAAATGTATCTGCAAATGGAGTATTTGTGTATTAATAACTTAATTCCTGTTTCCTTGCCAGTTGGCTTTATTCTTGACGCCGTGTCGTGTCGGCTCTAAGCCATCTGTCACGGTTTGGTGCCAGCCCTTGAGATTGCTCAGCTCAGGGTCGGCTGCACTGTCCTGCTATGGGTGGGGAAGTTGCTTTTGTAAAGCTTTCTGGTTCAGGGAGCAGGTGACCGTCTCTTGCTCGTCCCCTTTAGCGCAGCTGAATTTTCGTCACTCTCGGTCCCCTAGTGAGCGCACAGGACCAGGGGCTGCAGTGCCAAGTTTGCTTTCCTGCGATTCCACTGGAGGAACCGGGGCAGTTGAGAACTGAGCTGGGATTCTTCACTTCTATGGGGGTCGTGTTAGGATGGAGGTGGTTAACAGATGACTACTGCATTTTTCTGACAGCTGATGGAAGTCATAGTTAGGGGAACATCAGCAATTTTTATACACCTTCAATTGGTTTATTTTGTTTGACAAGTTCTGTTTTAAACAATTAAGTTACTTTTGGAGAAGATTCTTCATTATGATTAGAACAGAATCTGATTGTTTTTAGATTCAAAATAAAATAGATTCAGATTTCATTGGCCCCACCAGTGGTGTGTATGGGCCACGTTAATCCGTGACGAAAGCCAAAAAGGAACTGTAAGAAAGGATGTTTTTGAACCAAAGTGAAGCAAAATAGAATCAATAGCCTTCAGTGCTGAATAGAATCATTATTTATGAAAACCTAGTGAATGATCTGGAAATACTATTCCTTCAGTTTATTTCTACTGTTTTAGAAAACTACTTTCACAGCTTATTTTGTATAGGGGCCGGCGCTGTGGCGCAGTAGGTTAATCCTCCGCCTCTGGCACCAGCATCCCATATGGGCACCGGTTCTAGTCCTGGCTGCTCCTCTTCCCATCCAGCTCTGTGCTGTGACCTGGGAAAGCAGTGGAGGATGGCTCAAATGCTTGGGCCTCTGCACCCATGTGGGAGACCCAGTAGAAGCTCCCGGCTTTGGATTGGTGCAGCCCCGGGTGTTGCGGCCATCTGGGGAGTGAACCAGCGGACAGAAGACCTTTCTCTCTGTCTCTCGTTCTCCCTGTCTGTAACTCTACCTGTCAAATAAATAAATTTAAAAAATCTTTTAAAAAACTTATTTTCTGTAAAGGTAGAGATTAGCATAAAAAAGATGAATTTTAGATGGCATTTTGTTTCATGGCTTTCACATAATTCTATAGGGATTTGAAAGGAATTCCAGGTGATGGCAGTTAGCACATTAACCTGGTTGACCTCACTTCAGTAGAACTTTTAAACAACCATAGACTTTGTGATTTCTTCCAGTATTTTGGGGCTGGATTGACTTAATTATACAAAGGCTATTTTTTTTTTTCCCAACACGGTTTTATTTATTGAAGTACCTTCTGCGAGCGTACTTCAAAAAGATCACAGCAAATGGAATTAAGGGAAAATGTTGATATAAAACATTCTGAAATCCATGCATGTTTTCTGAGAGGCCGAGAGACGCAGCAGGGACAGCTCTCGTCTGTGAGTTCACGCCCCAGATACCTGCCACAGTTGGGTTATGGCCAGGCTGGATGCAGTCAGAAGCTGGGAACCCGGCTGACATCTCTGAGCCCGACAGGGACCCAACCACTTGAGCCATCACCTGCTGTGCCAGGGTGCATATTAGCAGGGAGCTGGAATTGAACCCAGGCACTCAAATGTGGAGCTCAGGCATCCCAATCAGCTCTTGAACCGCTAGCCCAGCCTCTTGCCCTTGGCTAGCTTTCTCATGATACATATTTTCCATGAGCTGTGTGGAACCCAGTATATGCACAGGTCTGAAATTTTTTTTCATGAAACGAAGCTTTTAAAAAATCAACCCCCTCCCCCACTGTCTGAGGAAACATCATATTCTACATTACAGGTCAGTCCTCCTTAGCCATCTGCCTTCCCTTAAGTGTAGCTTTCCGTTGAAGTAGTTAAAAGCTCTGGGTGGGGAGGGCTGAGCGCTACAGAAGGACATGTGAAGCTGGCGTCATCTTTGCTTTCCACGCTGTAAAGTGTTCCTGTTGGCTTTGTTCTCACCTCAGTGATCCAAATTCTGTGTTGAGGGGCCGGTGCTGTGGCGCGGTTGGTTAAGCCTCTGCCTGCAGTGCCAGCATCCCATATGGGTGCCGGTTCAAGTCCTGGCTGCTTCGCTTCCAATCCAGCTCCCTGCTGATGGACCTGGGAAAGCAGTGGAGGATGGCCCAAGTGCTTGGGCACCTGCCACCCATGTGGGAGACCTGGAGGAAACTCGTGGCTTTGGATAAGCCCAGCTCCAGCTGTTGGAGCCATTGGGGAGTGTACCAGAGGGTGGAGGACCTCTTTATCTGTGTGTAACTCTGCCTCTCAAATAAATAAATCTTTAAAAAATTTCTTTGAGTTTATTTCTCATGCAATGCTTGCATGAGTCCTTTCATACTTCGTGTGCACTTTGACTGTTTTCTCTCCTGTGCAGTGGAGAAGTTACTGTCCCTGAGAGACCAAGATTGGAGTGAGTTTTTGCAACAACTCTGCTCCCAGATTGACTCGGCGGAGAAGAGCACTGGGGCATCCCGAGCCAAACTGAATCTCCTCTGCTACTTGTGTGTCGTGGCCGGTCACAAGGAGGTGGCCAGCAGGCTCCTCCATTCCCCGCTGGTAGGTGGTTCAGAAGCAAAGCCTTTTCGAGTCCCGCAATGTGCCTTTGGCGCCTAGCTTGTGTATCCCCACAGAGCTGAAAACAGATGCTTCAATGTTAATTCGATTTCAGTGCAGTGAACAAAGAGGCATTTATCAAGCTTATAGGCTCGTGAAAATTACCCTGTTTAATCCTCAGGTCCCAGTACGTTTGAATAGATGGTGATTGTTTTGGACCTTTGTTAACTCGGGATGGTGGCGAAATGTGCTTCATATCTGAAGTCGTAAGGGAAACCTTTTGACCTGTGGTTGGAGTGAACTCCCCACACAGGACTGGGGGCCTTTACTGAGTGAATCCTGGCGAACGCCAAGGTTTCTGATGAGGCATTGAAGGGAAACACGGCATCTCTGAGTTTTTTTTTTCCTCCCTTTTCCTCCCACTTCCTCCTGGGCATGTCACTTCTTGAACTGTCTTGGTTCATTGGGGAGCCCCTGGGAGTCCATCAGAGCTCTTGCATTCCTGCTCAGCAAGGAGCTAGAGTGGATTGGGAAGTGTTTCCCACTGGGGGCCCTCATGGGGACCTACCTTGAACATACTTTACATTCATTGGTTTACAGGATAGCATTACGGTTCCTTTTATTGGCATTTGGTGTGTGTCTGTTGGGTGGGCTGTGGGCGTGTGGGTATTTGGGGCATATAAAGTTAGAGGAGAAACACAGTCCTGTGCTTAGTTTTTATCCTACTCATTGACTCAGCACTTCTGCACGTTTGTAAATAATTACCTCCTTGGTGCTTGCTTTACATTTCAGTTGATGTTTTACTGTAGCTGTCACTTTGTGCCCTGTTTCCTGGCTTAGGTGTTCCTTTTAATTTTGTATTCTAGTTCCAATTGCTCATCCAGCATTTGCGAATAGCTCCGAACTGGGACATGTAAGTAACATTTGTATTTTAAAAATTATTCTTTGTGGCTTTATTAAGTGATTGCAAGAAGCGTACATTTCAAAAGCCTAGTCCTAAATAATCTTGACAGATTATTTTGAAGTAATGATTGACACTGACTTTAGGCATCCCAGCTGTACATTGAAAAAGAAGTCAAAATTGGCCGGCGCCGCGGCTCACTAGGCTAATCCTCCACCTAGCGGCGCTGGCACACCGGGTTCTAGTCCCAGTTGGGGCTCCGGATTCTGTCCCGGTTGCCCCTCTTCCAGGCCAGCTCTCTGCTGTGGCCCAGGAAGGCAGGGGAGGATGGCCCAAGTGCTTGGGCCCTGCACCCCATGGGAGACCAGGAAAAGCACCTGGCTCCTGGCTCCTGCCATCGGATCAGCGCGGTGCGCCGGCCGCAACGCGCCGGCCGCGGCGGCCATTGGAGGGTGAACCAATGGCAAAAGGAAGACCTTTCTCTCTCTCTCTTTCTCTCTCACTGTCCACTCTGCCTGTCAAAAAAAAAAAAAAAAAAAAAGTCAAAATTGCTCTAATATTATGAATACAATTCTGGGATTCGCTAAGCTGTTTGTTTTTGGAGACCTTATTAATTAATACTCTTGAATATTCATTATTAAGTCCATGAACTCTGATCTCCGTGTATGTTGAACTTAAACTGGTTAAGAGTTTGCTTTTTTCCACCTGAATTTTTCCCTCATGTAGTGCCTGGTTTACCTAGGCTGCTACTCGTAGCCTGAGAGGATAATGTTTATCCACTTTTTATGGAAGCAGCATGCCAGGGGAAGAGGCATGTTAGATCAGGTGTCGGAAAGCCCTGGGCTATGGTTGTCAATGAGACTGAGGCAAAAGATGATTATTATTATTACGATTATTACTATCCCGAGTCTTCACTTCGTGGGGACTGGGAGACGACAGAGGTTTATTATTTAGACAGACCTGGGTGTAGGTTGCTGATCTGCCCCCTTGGGCAAACCACTTTAAGCGCTGAGCCTGTTTGTTGGGGGAAGATGGACACAGTGCAGCTATTTCATAGATGGTTTGGTAATGAAACTGTCAATGAGATAAGTGGGTACAATACCTGTAGCAGTGCCTGGTGTTCAGTAGGTGCTCACATAAGTTGGGCTTGTGGACGTTGTTACTATTGAGCTTTCTTATCTCTTAGGATTTTTAGGAAGAAATGGAGGGGAAAGAAGTTTATGAATTGCAATCCTGTGATATTTTTTCCTGCCAGTGAGACGTGGAGAAACGATTAGATGATCACCAAACATTTGGGGGTAGTTATTTTTATGCATCTTGTAGGTGTTTCTCCCTCCAAGTAAAATCTAATATCCTGAGATGGGATTTGTGGGTTATCGCCGAGCATGTAGTATTGTTGAAGAAATAAACCAGTGAAGCCCTTAGATGCGCAGTGCTTGGAGTGCCCCCTGCTGACGTGTCAGGATAGTCCTTTCCAAGTGCTGGCTTAAAACTGTCCTTTGTTAGAAGTTGAATTGTAAAACGGTTTTCATTTGAGGAAGGTGACAAATAGTAAAGCAGACAAGTCCTCAGCCTGGAGCCGGCTTTGGCATCGCTATTGAAATGCTAACTCCTCCAGGACTTCCGCCATACTAAGCCTCCTGGGTGGCTTAGGATAAGGGTCCTTAACTTAGCCTGGGGGATACTTAGCCTTTGAAGTAGGTGTGCAAATCTCTTAGTTTCGTTCTGTATATAGAAAAGCAAAATTGGGGGCCAGTGTTGTGCTGTGGCTGGTTAAGCCGCTGCCTGCTATGCGGGAATCCCATATGGGCACTGGTTCCTGTCTGGCTGCTCCCTGCCAATGAGCCTGGAAAAGCAGCTGAAGATGGCCGAGTATATTCCGGGGGGAGACCGGGGTGATGCTCCCGGCTCCTGGCTTCAGTCTGGCCCAGCCCTGGCTGTTGGGGCCATTTGCGGGAGTGACCCAGCACATGACCACTCTGTCCCTCTCTGTGCCTCTCCCTCTGTGTAACTCTGCCTTTCAAATAAATAAACCTTTAAAAAGAATTAAAATTAGAATCACATGATACAATTTGTTAAGCTGTTCTTTGCCCTGTAATATGTCCCGTTTTTAAATGTCATTTACAGTGCATAAAAGTACACCTTTCTATATAGATGCCTCGAGTCTCTAATCATTTTATTTTCCCTGTGATATTTTGGATAGTGTTACAATAAACAGTATTTTGAGTAACATTTTTGTGCCTAAGTCTTTGTGCCTGCTTTTTCCCCCTTAGGACCAATGCACAGAATTAGAACAAACGGACAGGGAATAGGGAGAAATGGCTAAAATGCCCTTCAGAAACATTGTAGCCCTTCCAAAACTGTAGCATACACTGCCAGTCTGTGTGTTTACAAACCACTTTATGAAGTCCTGAATCATTTTTAAGTGTGTAGTTGAAAGTATGAATAACAAAACATGGGTCATTTTAGATAATTCACAGTGTGCAGGGGTAGGAAGTGCACTCACAGGGCTGTATGAGCGTCCCTTCGTCCCATGCAGCTCTTTACCTTCCCCTCCTGCCTGCCTCACCCTTGTAACTCCTGTTCTTCACTCTGTCTCTGGATTTGCTTTCTGTAGGCACCTCATACGAAAGGATTGATAGAAGCTTTGTCTCTTTGTGGCTGCCTTATCTCACTAAGCGCACCGTTTTCCAAGTTCACGCACGTCATAGCACGTGCCGGGATTGCATTGCTTGGCTGAGACTGGGTATCCAGCGCGTTGTGTATTCCACATCTTCCCTTTCCGTCTCGTGGTGGACACTTGGACTCACGTTGCCTGGCAGTTGTTAGAAGTGTCCTGGTGGCCGGCGTCGCAGCTCACTAGGCTAATCCTCCACCCAGTGGCGCCGGCACACCAGGTTCTTGTCCCGGTTGGGGCGCCGGATTCTGTCCCGGTTGCCCCTCTTCCAGGCCAGCTCTCTGCTGTGGCCCGGGAGTGCAGTGGAGGATGGCCCAGGTGCTTGGGCCCTGCACCCCATGGGAGACCAGGAAAAGCACCTGGCTCCTGGCTCCTGCCATCGGATCAGCGTGGTGCGCCGGCCGCAGCGCGCAGGCCATGGCAGCCATTGGAGGGTGAGCCAACGGCAAAGGAAGACCTTTCTCTCTGTCTCTTTCTCTCACTGTCTACTCTGCCTGTCCAAAAAAAAAAAAAAAAAAAAAAGAAGTGTCCTGCTATGAGCACCAGTTTTTCTGTTTGGCTTTTACTTTTGATGATGGCTTTCCCAATGGGTGTGAAGTGGTATCTTCTGGTTTTGTGTTGCATTTTATTTATTTATTTTAAAGGATTTATTTATTGGGAAAGCACAGCTAGACAGCAGAGCTAGACAGCAGAGACAGATGTAGAGAGAGAGGTCTTCCATCCACTGGCTCACTCTGCAAATGGCTACAATGGCCGGAACTGGGCCAATCTGAAGTCAGGAGCCAGGGTCCCTACTCGGGTGCAGGACCCAAGGACTTGGGCCATCTTCTGTCCTTTCCCAGGCCATAGCAGAGAGCTGGATTAGAAGTGGAGCAGCCGGGACTTGAACAAGCACCCATATGGGATGCTGGCACTGTAGGCGGCGGCTTTACCCACTACGGCACAGCACTGGCCCCTGTGGATTACCTGTTTGCTTTGTAATGATGTCGTTTGATGCATGAATGTACTTAATTTTTGTGAAGCTTAACTCGTCTTTTTTCCTTTGTTGCCTGCGCTTTTGTTATATTCAAAACTCAACTGCTGGGCCGGGGCTGCGGCTCAATAGGCTAATCCTCCGCCTAGCGGCGCCAGCACTCCAGGTTCCAGTCCTGGTCGGGGTGCCGGATTCTGTCCCGGTTGCCCCTCTTTCAGGCCAGCTCTCTGCTGTGGCCAGGGAGTGCAGTGGAGGATGGCCCAAATGCTTGGGCCCTGCACCCCATGGGAGACCAGGAGAAGCATCTGGCTCCTGCCATTGGATCAGTGCCGTGTGCCGGGCGCGGCAGCCATTGGAGGGTGAACCAACGGCAAAGGAAGACCTTTCTCTCTGTCTCTCTCTCACTGTCCACTCTGCCTGCCAAAAAAAAACCAAAAAAACAAAAAAACAAAAAAACAAAAACAAACAAACAAAAAAAACAAACCTCAACTGCCAAATCTATTGTGATGAGGTTTTCCCCTTATGTTTTATCCCCCACAGTTTTACAGTTCCAGTTTTTATGTTTCCATCTTGGATCCATTTTGAACTAGTATTTGTATATGCTGTAAGATAAGGGTGCAATTTCTCTGTGTGCAGCTATTACTTTACCTATACCATTGTAGAAAGAAGACTGTCTTCTCGCCATTAAATGGTATCAGTGTCCTTACTGAAAATCATTTGTCCCTAAATGAGAGAGTTTATTTCTGGGCTTTCTATTTCCTTCCTTGGGCATTTCTCCCCCTGCAGTTTTCTAGTTTTTCTCAGTTACACTGCCTCCAGAGTGGGTGCCCCTTTGGGCCTTGGTGTCTGTGGTGGTGGAGCTCAGCCCCAGTGGACTTGGGGAGCTTACTTGCACCCTTGGACCAACCTCGCCCTGGTACCCTGCTTTGGAGTTTGTGCCCTGCATCCTATGCTGCCTGTGGCTGGAGGACTTTGGGCCAAGGGCGCTTTTTCTTTGTCCTGTGTGTGTCTTGTTTGAATTGTGCTTTTCATTGTTGGTACTTTAAAAAATTTTTTCCCTGAAGTACTAAGGAATTTTACTAGCTTATGACAAAGATTCATTCATTCTCTGATTATTTATTTGAAAGACTTAGAAAGGTAGAGAGAAGTCTTTCATCTGCTGGTTTACTCCTCAAATGGCCACAACAGCTGGAGCTGAGCCAATTGGAAGCCAGGAGCCAGAAGCTTCTTCTGGGTCTCCCACGTGGGTGCAGGGGCCCAAGCATTTGGGCCATCCTCTTCTGGTTTCCCAAACACATTAGCAGGGAGCCAAATTGGAAGTAGAGCAGCTGGGACTTGAACTGGTGCCCATATGGGATGCTGGTACTGTAGGCTGGGGCTTTAACCCACTGTGCCATAGTGCCGGCCCCTAAAATCTCTTTTTGCTATTTGAAAGAGAGAGATCACTTGATTTTTTTTTTTTCCCCTCATCTACTGGTTCACTTCCCAAATGGCTGCAATGGCTGTGACTGGACCAGGTTTAAGCTAGGAACCTAGAACTTCGTCCAGGTCTCCCACCTGGGTACAGGGGCCCAAGCCCTTGGTCCATCTTCTGCTTTCCTGGGCATATTAGGGAGCTGAATCGAAGTGGAGCAGCTGGGACTTGAACTGGCACTCAAGGGATGCCAGTGACACAGACAGTGGCTTAACCTACTGTGGCACAATGTGAGCCCCCAGCTCATTATTCTTTAGATTTCTGTGGAAAATCTTCGACTCTATTTCATCCCTTTTCTGCTCCTGAAACTCCCAAGGGTGGGTGTGAGATTCCGTGTCTCTTGACTTTTTCTTCTTCTTTTTTTTTTAGATATAATCCACATGCTATAAAATTCTCCTTTCTAATTAGAAATTGTTTAATTATATTTTTTTGACAGGCAGAGTGGACAGTGAGAGAGAGAGACAGAGAGAAAGGTCTTCCTTTGCTGTTGGCTCACCCTCCAATGGCCGCCGCGGCTGGCGCACTGCGGCCGGCTCACCACGCTGATCCGATGGCAGGAGCCAGGTACTTATCCTGGTCTCCCATGGGGTGCAGGGCCCAAGGACTTGGGCCATCCTCCACTGCACTCCCTGGCCACAGCAGAGAGCTGGCCTGGAAGAGGGGCAACCGGGACAGAATCCGGCGCCCCAACCGGGACTAGAACCCGGTGTGCCGGCGCCGCAAGGCGGAGGATTAGCCTAGTGAGCCACAGCGCCGGCCAGAAATTGTTTATTATAAAGTATATCTTTACATGAGCTAGGTAGGGAATTAGCTAGCAGAATTATTTAATGTTTTTAAAGATTGATGTGTTTGAGTGGTGGAGTTACAAGAGGGAGGAAGGGAGAGAGAGAGAGAGAGAGAGAGAGAGAGGGGTCTTCCATCTGCTGGTTCATTCCCTGAATGGCTGCACCAGCTGGAGCTGAGCCTATCCAAAACCAGGAGCCAGGAGCTTCTTTGGAGTCTCCCAGGCGGGTACAGGGGCCTAGGCACTTGGGCCATCTTCTGCTCTCCCAGGCCAAAGCAGAGAGCTGGATTGGAAGAGAAACAGCTGAGACATGAAATAGCGCCCAGATGGGATGCCAGTGCTGCAGGTGGAGGCTTAATCTACCATGCCACAGCACCCACCTTTCATTTAATTATTTTATCCTTAGAAATAAACTACCTTTTTTGTGTTGTTATATTTTTATTTCTCTTAGGCATTATCCCTTTACCATGTATTATAAGCTGTTTATAAAGGTACTTCAAAAAGTTGCTGGAAAATGAAATTTAGAAATAATATATTTCAGTATAAAAAAATTGACCTTTCTAAAGTACACGGTTCCGTGGTGTTTACTTGAAGTGGTAGAACCCTCATCACTCTAATTTCAGAAGACTTCTGTCACCCGAGGAAACCCTGTGCCCATTCTGGCTCTCTCCAACCCCTGGCAACCACTCACCTGCTGCGTTTTCGCCTTGATGCAAGTGGAACCCCTGTCGTAGGTGGCCTTCTGGCTCTACCTGGTATCCTTTAGCAGGACAGGCTCCAGGGTCGTCAGTACTGTAGCGTGTGTCGCTGCTTTTCTCTGAGTGACTGGCTGAGTGGCAGTCCATTGTGTGGATTCGCCGCATGCAGGCAGTCCATTCCTTCTGGACATCAGGGTTCCTTGCACATCTGGCTGCACAGTGCTGCTGGGAATATTTGTGTGTTAGGTGTCGTGTGAACATGTTTTCGTGTCTTTGGGTTCATGCCTGGTGGTGGGATTGGCTGGAGCAGATGCCAGCTCCTGGAGAGAACCATCACACTACTTTCCCGTTCCGGGATTTTATCTGCAGCTTGGTACTTAGCCTTGCTCGTTGGATTTTTCAGGATCTCTAGTTAATGATTCTGAAGTTCGACAGCCGTGTTGGGAAGCTTTGTTCATTGTCTTGTTCTGTGCTCATCCTTTTTCCTACTTGTCTGTACTTGCTCTATAATACGCTTTTGAATTTGAGGCTAAGTATTAGGATTATAAAACGTCTGTGGGAAAGGATTTAGGATTAAATATTATAATTATTAAGGTTAAAAATTAGGATTGTAAACTGTATTTTTCTAAAAAAAATTTATTTTAAATTTATTTGAAAGGCAGAGAGCACGAGTCAGTGCCAGAGAGATGTGTTTGATCAGCTGGTTTGCTCTCCAAATGGCCGCGATGGCCGGAACTGGTTTAGGCCAAAGCCAGTGGCCTGGAACTCAGTCCTGGTCCTCGATGCAGGTGGACGTGGGGGTTGTTTGGAAGTACGGTGCTCTGAGTTACAGGGGCAGCACCTGGAGGGCGACAGCGAAGAAGAGCCCGTAATTCTGAGAAGGAGCCAGACTCGGGCGTAGTATAATAGGGTACAGGTGTATTTAGGTTTCTGATGTAACAGATTGATTCTTATTTAGACTTCAAATAGTGTGTTATTTAAAAGTATAAGGGTGTTCTAAGAGGAATTGTCCTGGTGAGACTGGGGAAAGTATTTAATTAGCATATTCTCATACAGTTTGCGTTTTGTGGAAAACTCCAGTAGCCAGTATTTAGTGTTGCAGAATACAAGATGATTCCGTGTCTCATCCGTATTTCGAGCTCGTATTTGAAGAGAGATGTGTTCTGTATCTTGTAATGCATTTCAGAGTCTGGTCTTATGCACTGACTGGTAAGGAAATGACGTCGGTATCACTCGATAAGAGGGAAGTTCTCATTAACTCACCCTCTGTTTTAAACTAATGACCAAAAATCTCAGCAAACCCAATTTTCTGCTTGAAAACCATTTTGAAATCACTGAGTTATTTAGCAATTTACCAACTTTGTTTTCCACTGGATGCCCAAGCAACACCCCATTAAAACTTGTGTTGATTAAAATAGAGCAATATTGATTATACTTTTCACTGCAAAAATTGCTATTAAAGTGAATGCATACCACCAATCTTAAACTGTCTTGGTATTAATTAATTATTACTTATCTGGAAACTCATTGGTCACCTAACTAGTTGAACGGAGACTTTTAGCCAGATGTCTCTGTAATGAGAGAAAAGCATTCATTACTAATTCTCTCTTGTCTCAGGTTAAGCCCGGGCATGTAAGCTTTGTCACGTTAGGAGCAGGATTTCAGAGGACGCTGGCGTCGGGGTGTCCACATACACAGGGGAGGGCTCCTCTAGTCACAGTCACAGGTGCATGCACGCCTGCCCTCCCACGTTGAGTTTGTACTTCATATTCTGGTATCTAGTGCCCACCATTGTGTAAGGTGCCCAGGGGGCCCGTCTCCTTGGTCTCTGACGCTTCTCTTCTGAGCCTGTTTTCCTCTCCATTTGCAGACGGGCCAAGGTTGCGCGCGTGATTGGTTTACTGGCCTCACACACAACAGAGCTCCAGGAAAACACACCTGTTATTGAGGTAACTTCTTTTTTGACTGATAAGGTATAAGGTGAGAAAAAAGATGGTCCTTGAGTTTGTAATTGCTAGCGTGCAGCTTTCGTGGATGGTCTCTTAATTTGTGGGATCGTGGCAGTTGGTGTACACCAGCAGCTCACTACGACACAGTCCATTGTGGAAGGTGGAACGGCAGCGCTGCAAGGATTCTGAACCACACTCATTCTTTATTTCTGAATAAGCCTTTTTTTTTTTTTTTTTTTACTGCTGGTTTCCTTGTAGGTCACCCAACCTTCATTATAACCAGTGCAATTTCTAGTTCAAACATCACTCATAATTCAATCAAAGTTATTGTGGTATTTCTTCTTGAATTTAGTGTTTTCGTGCTCACCCACCGTGAATCATTTCTTGACAACCAATCCCAATATTTAATGATCTTGCATGCACTAAAGATATTTTCTGTCATCGGTCATTTCCTTCTAACAACAATACCAGGAAGGCTTTCTGATTGAATCAGTAATTCCAAGTCCTATGGCCTGTTACAGTGTCCTTGAATAATAAAAACGACTTCCAACCTGTCCTGCTAATTGGTATTGCAGTTAATATGGTAATACTTTTTTTAAATTTTGAGGTATACAAATTTCGTGTATTTTGTATGTGCAGATTTAGGAACACAGTGATGCTTCGCTCCCTACCGTCCCTCCCACCCACACTCCAGCCTTTCTCCCTCCTCCTCCTCCCATTCCTACTCTTAATTTTCACCAAGATGTGCATTCACTTTACCTAATGATCATAAAGTTAATGCTACACTAAGTAAAAGAGTTCAACAAATAATGAAGGAAAAAAAAAAGTGTTCCTCAAGGAAGAGCCAAGGGCTGTGAACGGTCATTGAATCTCCAAATGTCCATTTCACCCCAGTACATTACATTACATTTGCCAGTTTGGGGGGGGGGAGGCATTTTTTAAAAATTTAACGCCTCAAACTGAATTGTACCAACATCCATCGATTATTTACTTGATCAAGCTGTAGCTGCCTGAAAGCAATAGATGTTAAGACAAAGTACAGAATAAGTAAGTCTAAACAAATGAATCTGTAAAATGTGAGCCTAACTAATAGCTGTTCAATGCTTTGAAGCTTATTCTAAAAAGCATGAATTCTTGAAAAAGAGAATATAAATACTTTAGAAATTGCTAGTATGGAAATAAATTCTGCATTATTTTAGAAGATCTATAAGGGTGAGGAAACAGTGGAGTAGGCAATGTCAAGTTCTTAGTTGGTTTTAGAAGAAATGTGTTGGTAGTGTTTTATTAAGATTTATTTGAAAGGCAGAATTAGAGAGGAAGAAGTCTTCCGCCCTCTAGTTCACTCCCAAGCAGCCTGCAACAGCCAGGGCTGGGCCAGGCAAAAGTCAGGAGCCAGGAGGCCAGGGGCTACGTGGGGTGCAGTGGCCCAAGCATTTGGGCCGTCTTTGGTTGCTTTGTCAGGTGCATTATAGGGAGCTGGATTGGAAGTGGGGCAGCCCAGTCTTGAACTGGTGCCCATATGGGATGCCGGTGTTGCTGGCAGCGGCTTAACCTGCCGTGGTACAGGTCTGGCCCCTAGTGTTGCATTCTTGACATTCATAATCTATTTTGCTTTCCTGACTCCAGTGCTCTTCTGTCCATTTATTTCCAAATATTTAGGAGTACCTGTGTACACTCAAACCATCCCCGGGCATCAGGGCACAGTGTTGACCGTGGTAGATTAACAGCTTGCGTTGTAGCGTGGGAAGAGAAACAAATAGGAATGTATGATGTCACGTGATGATGAACTCCGTGAAGCAGATGGGGTTGGGTGATGGCATTAGGGATCTCTGAGGTGGCCATGGTCCTTGCTCAGCTAAAGCCTTTGCTGGCGACATGCTGACGGAAGCCAGGGGCGACTGTGGGCGCAAGCTCTGCTCTCTGGACAAATGGGGTCGACATGCTGACGGAAGCCAGGGGCGACTGTGGGCACAAGCTCTGCTCTCTGGACAAATGGGGTTGCAGGCAGGGTGGATGGCCTTTGCAGAGGACTGAGTGGGCAAAGAAAACTGGTCGGCGGGCTTCCAGGGGAGTTTGGCTGCAATGGAGGGAGGCAGGGTGGCAGGGATGGAGTGGGGGGCCGGGCCAGGGCAGAGCTTTGTTGCAAGTCACCTAAGCATTTGGGACATTACTCAGAATGAGATGGAAGGACATGGGGGAATTGTGAGCGTGAGATCATGCCTTGACTTGGTTAATTTTTGTTTTTTGTTTTTTTTTTTTTTGACAGGCAGAGTGGACAGTGAGAGAGAGAGACAGAAAGAAAGATCTTCTTTTTGCCGTTGGTTCATCCTCCAGTGGCCGCCGGGGCCGGTGTGCTGTGGCCAGCGCACCGTGCTGATCCAATGGCAGGAGCCAGGTGCTTCTGGTCTCCCATGGGGTGCAGGGCCCAAGCACTTGGGCCATCCTCCACTGCACTCCCCGGCCATAGCAGAGAGCTGGCCTGGAAGAGGGGCAACCGGGACATAATCCGGCGCCCCGACCGGGACTAGAACCCAGTGTACTGGTGCCGCAAGGCGGAGGATTAGCTACTTGGTTAATGTTTGAAAAGTATCGCTCTGGGAGCTGGCGTGCACAGTGAGTGAGGCCACTGCTCGCCATGCCGCCATACCTTACTGGAGTGCTTGTTCAAGTCCTGGCTGCTCGGCTTCCCATCCAGCTCCCTGCTAAAAGGCCTGGGAAAGCAGTGGGAGATGGCCCAAGTGCCTGTGCTCCTGCCACCCATGTGGGAGACCTGGATAGATTTCCTGGCTTCTAGCTTTGGCCTGGCCCAGCTTCAGCTGCTATGGCTACTGGGAGAGTGAACTTGTAGATAGAAGATGGATTCTCAGGCTGGTGCCGTGGCTCACTTGGCTAATCCTATGCCTGTGGCGCCGGAATCCCATGTGGGCACCAGGTTCTAGTCCCAGTTGCTCCTCTTCCAGTCCAGCTCTCTTCTGTGGCCCAGGAAGGCAGTGGAAGATAGCCCAAGTGCTTGGGTGCCTGCCCTACGTGGGAGACCAGAAAGAAGCACCTGGCTCCTGGCTTCGGATCGGTGCAGCGCCGGCCGTAGCGGCCATTTGCGGAATGAACCAACGGAAGGAAGACCTTTCTCTCTGTCTCTCCCTCTCACTGTCAGTAACTCTACCTGTCAAATAAATAAATAAATAAATCTTTAAAAAAGATGGATTCTCTCTCTGTTTCAAATAAATCTTAAGAAAAAAAAAAGCATGCCTATTACTAGGAGAGGGACAGGCAGAACCAAGAGACTAATTTAGGAGGTGGAAGATGATTGTGACTTATGTCATTTTTTAAAATGATTTGTTTATCTTGTTTGAAAGGCAGGCAGAGTTAGAGGAAGAGACAAATCTTTGATCCTCTGACTTGCCAAATGGCTGCAACAGCTGGAGCTGGGCTAGTCGGAAGCCAGGAAGTGGAGTGGCCAGGACTAGGTACTGGTGCCCACGTGGGACGCCGGTGCCTCTGGAGGCGGCTTTACCTGCTGCATCACCATGCCCTGGACCACGTTGTTACGCATACCCACTTTCTGACCCCTCCCCCCAAACATACATGCTATTTTCCTGGATAGAGTTGGAAACGTGGTAACAGATGAGCTGATTGCTTTGATAGTACTTGCAGGCAGACATTAATAGCCAAGAAGAGTGGCCTGTATCCATGTTCATAGTCAAAGCTGAGTCATCAGAGACATGCAAATCCAGACCAAAGTGAAATATCAAGTTAGTCACCAGAGTGGCCCAAAGCAAGCAAGAAACCCCAAACCAAACCAAAAAAACTTAGGATCCTCAGGGTCTTGGGGTCCTAAATGACATATACAAGAACTTGTAATAGCATTGTGATTTATAACAGCCCTGTGTTGAACCCCAGTGTCCATCCACAGCTGAGTGGGCAGCATGTGGAATGCTCACATGGTGGCCTGCCAAGTGGCACGGGTGCTGGTAAGCTACGGCACCCGGCGGCAGGGTCACGGACTCGTGTCCCAGGTGGCAGTAGGATCTTTCCTGGGGGAGACTCCTCTGTGTCCTCAGGCATGTCTGGACACTGGGATGGTTCCCGCCCAGAGGTCAGCTCTGCCTGGGGCCAGGTGCCGTGGGGGAGAGCTGATAGTGCGTGGGGGCCATGGAACGGGCTCCAGATGAGGAGGGGGTGTTGGCATACAAAGGCCAGGGCTGGGACTGAGAGGCTGTCCACTCTCCTGGAGTTGTTGTGCTTGGCCATCCTGTGGCAGTGGTTGGGAGACTGTCCTGTTGTCGCTGTTCTCAAGAGCCTGGGTAGAGGCCATCTGCAGTACCCTGGGACCTGCCAGTCACCCGGGTGATGTGCCTGCCTACCCCCATCCTTGCCTGTGGCCCAGTTCTGGGACCTGCTGTTGCACTACTGCCACCGCTGAGAGCCTTTGACCCAGCCATCCCATGAACAGTTCTGATACTTCAGGCAGCCACTAGAGGGCACTCAAACACTGTGAAATGTTTTGCAAGTGCAAGACCTTGTTGTTTAGACTTCTGATCTCTAGAAGCTTGACAAGTCTGTGGTCCTGTGTTTCATCTTCTTCCTGATGTTTGCAGTTTTGCCTACACGAAATGTTCTTCGGGTCCATTCTGGTTGTTAGCATTTCAGATGAATGACAATAATGAAAGCCTTAATCGCCTCTCAAAAAACGCAGAATAAGCGCCAGGCGCACGTTTCAGAATCCTGGAGCCCTTTGCAAGGTGCACCTGAGGTCCAGAGCTCTGGAGATGAGTTTTCTGTCGACTCACAGTGGGGTGTGTGTGGCTAATGTGTCAGTAAGCCATGAGTAAAATTTCAAGCACGTGGCGAGTCCTGATGTTTTTCAGTACATGTAATACCCGTGAGCAATCAAGATGTTGGTTAAAGATCCCATAAGGATTTTTTCAGGTTTTCTTTTTAAGGTTAGCATTTTTGTTTTTGATTTGTTAGAGACAGATGGAGAGAGATTGTCTATCTGC